GATCGGTACTACCATACTCACAATCACAAATCCCAATCTTTAATTCCAACAACAGTACTGGCAGAAAAAAAAATAAAATCGATAGATTTTTCTAGGAATGCATTCCTAGAAAAATCTGGCATAAAAAATGTAAACAAAGGCAGGACGGTTGTTTACGTTGGTGAGTGATGTTCACTTGTGCATCACGTGACAAGGGCAAGAATGTCACGTTATCGCAAGGGGAAGTAATCCACATATCGAGTTACAATGTCAAGCGGGTGGTTTTGTTTATAAATAAACATAAGGTCACGTGGTCACGTGGGATTAAAGTAACACACAGCAAAGTTTTCTACACAAGAAAATACAAAGAAATGTCTTGTAAGTGGCCTACAAGTCTACAGGGGCACAGTGTGTACATGCACAACATGTGTACACTTTTAAAATGCCAATATGTACACTTTTACATGGACAATGGGTACTCTTTATTGTGAAAAACTTCAAATGTACATGCTGTATTTTGAAAGATTGTATGTATGTTGTAATTTGTACCCTCATTTACAGTTTTAAAACACGTTCATATAGTGCACGCATAAACATACCGTCTGTATGTAAAAAAAAAAAATCACACCGATAACATGTTTTAAATGGCATAATAGTATGGTACGTATTGTTGATTTGTTTATTGTTAACTTTCACACACTGACTCAACGATATGACGTCTCACGAACGTAACCCACTAGAGCACGGGAGCCGAACGCCTAACAACATGGGTTGGCAGCCGTATGCTCAACCACTTTTCTGCTCGACCACTCGACAAGTAGGAAATAATATTTTAATATACCATTTTCTTTTTCACAACATTGGAGCAGTTGCGTTGCTATGATGTTAATGCAGTAAGACACACACACACACACACACACACATATATATATATATATATATATATATATATATATATATATATATATATATATATATATATATATATAATAGAATCGCGTAGACAAATTAATTGCGAATTTCAGCTCAAATAAATCAAACAATGGGTACCTCCTATACGAGAGGAACGCATGCTCTTTATAAAAGAAACTGATTAATTCAAAAAATTAACTAAGTATCTAATTAAGTCACATTCTATGCAATGACTTTAAGTCTTGACCAACGTGAAAACTGAAGAAAACGGTCAAGTAGAAGTTTTCGAACTTTAAATCGCATAGACAAAGGGACAAAATTGCAAAACCTTGTTTTTCCGTTCAAGTCGAAATTTTTAATACTAAAAATGTATTTGATGTGTGTTCATGATTACCATACATCCGCTGTCTATACTCTATTCAAGGGAAATAACTTAAGTCTTAATGGCTAAAATAACCAAGTAGTTAAAAGACACTCTTGAAAACACAATGTAACGTTGTCAATTTATATTCTATACTGCAAAGAATTAGGCAAAAAAAAAACAATTTTGGAACCTTGTTAAGATTATAAATTTTATTAATAACCTACTTAAAATCTTACGTTAATTAAAACTATGAGCACATTAGCTTTTTATAAGTTGTATTTTTTTTAAATAAAGATTAATACCCTTGACAAGCGTTTACTACACTGGTTCTCCTTAGAAATTAATTTAACACCAAAAAAAAATTAATTTAGTGATCCTTAATTTTTTCAATTTTGTTCCTCGTGTCGTAAGGTAATGTTACTATTGTTACAACGATTTTAATTTTAAAAGTTAAGTTTTAATTAAACATTATGTACTGACTAAAGTGTACAGTTTATTTTTTTTTTAATTGAATCACTAAATACTATATACGAAGTATAGAGAAAGTCTTGTAATCGTGCATTAAAAAAAAATCGAGATTTTTGCAAATCTCGACTTTTTACACCACACTGTGTCGGAAAAACATAATTTTGCAATCTAGTCCGTATGTCTGTGTGTGTATGTGTGTGTGTGTGTGTGTGTCTGTAAACACGATAACTTGAGTACCGTTACAGCTAAGTTGATGACATTTCATATATAAGCATTTTATCACAATCGTAGATCCGTATAAACTTTTGAGCGATTTCCGATAAACGGAAGTGGTACTTTTTCTACTTCGAATTTTTCAAAAGCCTATAACTTGATTACTGTTTCAGATAGATAAATGAAATTTCACATGTAAGTAAACGATCTAATTCTCTACCATCTGTCAAATTTTAAGTCATTTCCGTTGACCGGAAGTAGTAATTTACGCTATTTCCGATTTCTCAAAAAACTAATGTAAATTTATAAAGTTCTTATAATAATGCACACTATTATGCACATTTTATTTGGCGTTCACTTGGTGTGCAATTCTTTTTTCTACGAGATTTTATTTTATTTTAAAATATTTAAAATGGAGTTCCCATCCCCTTTTGTTTTATATAAGGATATTCGAGAAAGTTTAGGGGAGATCACTCCCGGTTTATTTTGTTTCCTTTTCAATGCGTAATTAGTATTAAAGTAGCTTTAAAGCCACGTTAATAACAATTTTTGGTACGATTAAAATAAATCCACTACACTCTGTATACGATAAAGTAGAGAGGTGTAAAACGGCTAAAACTGCTAAAATTGAACTTTATTTTAGCACGATTGCAATGTTTCCATTATAGTTATACTCTGTATACAAACAAGTGAAAAACCAAACCCAAAATGACAAACGAAACAAATACTAGATCTATGAATAACTCTCGTGTTCCGTTGTTTACAAACAACAGGAACGACAACCCCGTGTTTTAGTTCACGGCTGCGCTAGAATATTATAGAAGGCTTTATTGAATTATCGGTCTTTATTGGGTATTGACCACTTGAGAATTCTATTTGAGCTGTTCGGCCACTGAAAAAAAGCTTTTTAGGGCGAGTGTACTGGGTCGAGAGTACTTTTAAAGCTATTGTTTAGGCTAGGAGCGAAAGCAAGCTTAGATGGAGAGAAAGACTAGTTATACAGGCCAAGGTAAAAGTAATCGCCTTATTGAAATGTTGGATGTGGCACTAGCTAAACTTATATATTTAAAGATAAATTGAATAAATTCGTTCAAATTGTCTTGGTAGTAAAAAAAAAAGTTCACCAAGATTTGTTCTTAATCTCTGATGAGACTTCTTCATGTTCAGTACAATGCAAAAGAATGAATAAAGGAGAAAAGTAACACTATCTCATTATATGCTTCTTATTTAAAAGATGCTTGTTAACTTAAGATTTCAAATAGTTGTGTAAATAAATGATTTGCAAAACTTTTGAGTATAGGGGTTCGAAAAAGCTTTTTTTTTAATTTAATTTTATTTTCAATGTAAATTCTAGAGATGAAGCCTTCACCTTTTCGAGAAAAAAAAATGGATCTATACATGTAAAGAAAACCAACAAGCACACAACTTAAAGAGCGCGTTATTATGAGTCAAGATGGCCCGCAAGTGCAGAGAACTTTAATTCATCAATAACTTTGACATATACGAAAGTGTATATACACACAGAGTAATAACTGCACACTGGTAATAATTAATATCTCTTCTGATGAAATGTAGTTTTAAAAAAAAAAAGTAAAAAAAAGGAGGTGAACGTAAAGCTGATTTCTATATAGCCTATATATATATATATATATATATATATATATATATATATATATGTATATATATATATATATATATATATATATATATATATATATATATATATATATATATATATATATATATATATAAAGGCTATATATATATTATCTATATATATAATTCTCTTCTGGGAGCCGCTAGAAAACAAGCTGCAAACGCGACTAGAAAACAAGCTGTAAACGCGCTCCCTACCTCCCCACCCCTACATGGTTTTAGTGAGCTGTGTTTACTCTAAATGTTTACAAGCAGAGCCAACGATTTTAAACGTAGGGGGGGGGGGAGGGGGGGGAGGAAAAGGGGGGGGGGGGGTTATGGTCCTTAACGAGCTACTTATAGTGTTTTAAAGAAATATTTTCAGTGGCAGCGTTGGTACTGTCGAATTCACAAATTTTGAATTACTGAAAAGTAGAAAAACAACAACTAAATAGCGGTGTATGTTATGCCGCGGGCCGGCTCGTTTTATTTATTTATTTATTTACATTTATACATTGACTCGCCGCCATAGCTACAAATGGTGAAAGGGATATAACTCAATAAAAGCTAGTTACTCAGAATAAAACAATTATCTACCCGTTATATGTGTTCAAACGACACTTATCAAAAAACTAATATAAAAAAATCCTTAATAGCATACAAGCAATTTTAAATGCACTGAAAATAGGAAAATAAAATTTTCATAAAATCTTTTGCCACAAACCCACAAACAAACAAGCACACAAACAAACAGAAGTTGCGAACTAAATAAAACCTAAAAAAAATATCACGGTTTTTGTTTTATAATTAATTAGCTAAATTTATGATATTATTTTGTAAGTAAAGTTCCCTTTTCAAACCTGACGGTCTATGGGGCAAGTGAAGTAGAGTTCACTTGTTTCTGTGACCTCGGCATATGAAGAGATAGTGTGGTCAGCAATATGCCCAGCCGCCTTCACTTTCCCTTACGTAAATTAGGTACCCATCAGAGTTGGGTGGACTCATGGACGGTCTACTGATTTGAACCCGGATTCAAACTCGATACTTACGGGTTAGCAGTCCAGCTCTCTACCGCTAGACCACTCCGTCCCATAACTTTATTAGTACAGACTGCTGATTGCTGTATTATTTCTTTTTTTTAAATGCTCACATGCCATGCTAAAGCCTATCCTATAATGAATCCCGTCAGAGCCAACCCCCCCCCCCCCCCCCCCCATCTCAATTCTTGGAGAACTCACACCAATTCCACACTCAGACGAAAAGAAAAAAAAAAATTATTTATTTAGAAAATGTATGTAGAAAAAAACGTAAGCCAGCCCGACCCCCCACCCCCACCCTTCCCTTCCTCCGGAGAAAAATATTTGTGAGCTCTACTTTAGTCAAGTTTCGAGTAGAAATGATACATTGAAAGTTTTCGGTTGTCCTTGTATTTTAGTATGACCTAATCGAAACCTAGGATTTGTTGACATGGCTGACTTGTGGCAAACGGAGTCTCAGGTAGATCTAGAAGTTAATTTCATTTAAATTGTCGGTCATACGTTTATTTTACAGACATTTTTTTTTTGAGAAATACACTTTCTTATTATGTGAATGACAGCGGGGAAAGATTCAAGACTTATGACCGTTTTAGGATAAAGCAGGAGGCATAACATTAACAAGTTAACAACTCAGAAGAGAAATTGACAGACTCAGTCGGACTGATTCTGATCTGAAGACTGCGCAGCACAGTCACTGTAACAGTGTGAATGAAGAATACTTAGATCTAAAATCTAGATTCTACTGATTTACAAAAAAAATGAGCAGCAGCTGTTCTGGGTTAATATTCTTAGATGCAAAAAGGATAGTCTATAGACTGTATAGACCTAGTAGTGATCCATTCGGCATATGAATGAAGTAGAGTTCATGTTTCTTGATCTCGGCATATGAAGGAATGGTATAGTATTGTGGTCAGCACTATGCCCAACCACCTTTACTTCCCTTACAATGAGTTAGGTACCCATCAGAGTTGAGTGGACTCGGGGTCGTACCACTGACTTGAACCTGATTTGAACTCTAGGATTTCGCCTGATTTCGGGTTGTTTCCAGTAGTAAAATCTGCTTTGTTTGCCTGACCGTCAAATCATGAAAGAGCTAATTTTTCATTGGTTTGATAATCATGGTTATAATACCCAATTGTTAAATTTATGAGGGGAATTTGATGTGGTCTACTTGAATTATTTTTTTTTTTTGCTACCAGACTAAATCTGGGGCTGCCAGATCAGCTGTTCTGGATATGGACATGGAGGAAATGGAAATGATGGATGATGGGAACAGTGACACTTCTGACTATGACAACAACTTTCACAGTATTTGTTGGATTCATTATTTTTTTAGAGCAGTCTCTCCATACAAAACACTTGTTGGATACTAATTATTTTAAAAATAAGTTTTTGATTATTTTTAAAAATATATTTGCTATTAATCTAGATATTAATTGTGAGATGATTACTGTAAAAAATTTAATTTTTTGTGCATACTTTTCTGTTGTTAAGTTCCACTTTCAGACCTAACAATCCTTACAGCAGATGGAGCAGAGTTACTCTGTTTTTTGACCATAATAAATGAAGGGATGGTGTGGTCAGCACTAGACCAAGTCGACTTTACTTTCCCTAACAGGAGTCAGTGGACTCAGGAACATCCTATAGACACTCTTGCCTGCGATCCACTCGAGGCATTTGGTTTAGCATTCACACACTCAACCACTTGAATACTTCGTCCCCATTTTCCGTTGCGGTGCAATAGTTTAAGATTTAATGCTGAATACATAATTATAAGTTTTGTATTATTTTTTTTCATCAGCCATGAGACAAGACAATCAAGGCGCTGGAGGGAAGGCTAACAAAACATTTGTTGATGATATACGACAAAGGATGGGAGAAAACGTCACACAGATGGTGGGTTACAGTTTCTGTACAGAGATAATTATTGTTAGCTGCATTTTGAACAAACTACTTGCTTTAGTTTGCTTATATCCTTTGTTAATTTCATGAACATTTTGCTTCTATATAACTATTATACACAGTACTACCATACTAAAAAATTCATTATATTGGTTAACATTGTGGCTAGAAAAGTAAGAGTAGCCTTACACTTTAAACATATATATTACATGTATGCTTTCAAACTTTAGAAATGCATTATTTTAAGAATTTTTATTAAGTTTTTATTATCATTTTTATTTTGATGACACTGCATAAGCTTTTAAAAAATGTCATTAATCTTTTGCATTAGTTCTAAGTATACAAATTACTGTGAAATTATTAGTCACGAATGACAAGGTTTGTAAGCTTTAAGGTAAATTTTTATAGGTGTGGCAAGCTGGAACACAGGGTGCTAAAAGGGCTTGGACACTGTACGGGAATATTGACGTGCTGCGTCCTTACTTTGATGTAGAGCCTAAAGAAGTACAGATGAGGTAATATTTGAAGCATTAAAGTATCTGTAGTTTAAGTTGTATTTAGACTATATTTAGAATATGTAATGCATTTATATTTCAAACATTAAAACATAGTATAAAAAATGAACTGAGCAATTAAAACTGCTAGGAAGATGTGGGAGGGGGGGGGGGGGGGGGGGCACAGGCTAAATTGTGTATGTTGCAATGTGAGCTTAAGGTGGGAAATTGACAACACTTTTATAACCAAACTCAAGAGAACACAAAGTCTGTGATTTTATCTTCTTTAATTCTCCTTGAAACACAACATAAGTACCCTTTGGCTGGCTGTGAGAGAATGGACCCCCAAGCTTTCCCACCCTACCTTATATACACTAACTAATCTCAAAGTGCTAACTTTGATCTATGTCAGGTCCCTCCCTATAGTTCCTATGCTAAAGAAGTGCATGTACTATTTATTTACATTTAATTCCAAAATAACCAAAATAGACAAAAGTCTGAAGGATAATGTAATAATGTAAACAAAAGGGGCTTTACTCTAATCTGCACAAATATTTATATGTAACAGTACTAACATTGTAGTTTTTTCTATGACGATTGTAATGCCGTTACTTCCCCTTGTCACATCTCATGCACTTTCTACCAACTAAAGCTTAAACCATGGTCTACCCCAGTTTTCAAAATAGTCCAGTGACCCCTTCCCCCACCTTCCAACCCACCATCCTTCTCTAAACAAAGCTTTTCAACTGTTTATCATTTCAAATCATTTGTTTCAACCAATGTCCTATTACCTTTCAGACTGCTGTACTCTCTGATCCCCAAAAAACCATCAGATCAGAGGCAACAAGTGCCTAAAGAGCTGTACGGCCCCACCATGGTAGTTCTCACCCTCATAGCTATTCTACTGTACCAGATGAAGACAGCGGAACATAAAGTGGTATAAACACACCCCACATAGAAATGTGTTGTTTTTTTTTTTGTTAACAAGCATCATATTTAATTATAATTTCCTAAGATAAAACAATATTTTTTTTTAAATGTGATGGGTCGGCGTGGTCGAGTCGGTAAAGCTCATGGTTGCTAAACCAAAAAGTCTTGAGTTCGAACCCTCTGGCAGATGAAGCTCGTTAGCTGGGGACAGCCACTCTTTTATAGAAGAGACAACTCAAACAACTGCTCCCTGGTAGTTTGTTTTTGGTTGGACAAAGGCTATGGAAGCTAATCCAATACCGTGGTTTAAAAAACTAGTGAACTCTATATCTGCCCAATGGATCTTTACTTCTGGAAAGGGAACTTTTTTTGCTTGTTAATTTGTAACACATGTTTAAAAACAACTTTTGATTTATATAAGTAGTTTGGTAAAATAAATAACGTAGTAAAAAGGTAAATAGTAAAATTAATATTTGTTGTTATAATATTGTTGTAAATAACAAAAGAAATAAATAATTTTTAGAAAAAGTGATAAACAAATAATTTTAAAAAAGATAATGAAAGAAACAAATTAAAACTTTTTAAGAAAATAAAATCATTGTTATCTTTTTAATCATTTTTAATCATTGATTCTTTATTTGATGTACAGGAGGAGGGAACTCTGATGGGCTCTGCTATTGGTGTGTGTTTCATGTATTGGCTTGGTGCCTCCTGTGTGGTGTGGTTTGTTTGCTATGTGTGTAACGTGCGCATCACCCTGCTGCAGATACTCTCCATGATGGTAAGAACTTTTTAAAATTATTTCCGGAACATCGCTTGCATTTGAAATTTGTATCTCAAAGCAATTTTTTTTCTATTGAAATTATAATATATATGAAATGCCATTGATCCATTAGTCTTTGGAAATCAGACAAATTATTTTTTTTGTTGTAATTGATATCAGAGTATAGCCCTAATACACAAGGTTCTCATGCATCAAGTTTTCTTGAGGGGGGGGGGGGGGTGCCAACTCAAAATCAAAAAAATATTTCTAGAATCTACATTATAATGTAATTTTTAAGACATTTTATATTGGTATTTGTGATGACGCAAGGTTACGTCAAGGATAGGTCAAGTAAATAGAGGTTAGCAGAAACAGACTATAGTTAGTTGGTTAGAGAGATCAATGAAAGTACAGGAGCTGACCGGTCACGTGGGACGGTCAGCTGACCACTAGAGCGAGGGTCTGTAGGTATCGGTTAGGGACGGTTAAAATATGTAGAGCTAGGGAGGCAGTTGATAGTTAGCTAGCAAAGAGAACGGTCAGAGTTAGGTAGAGAAATGTAGAGTTAGGTAGAGACGGTCGGACATATGTAGAGCTAGATACAGTTAGGTAGTAGTTCGGTGTAGATTAGTTGGGTAGGAAGTTGATCCTGTAAAAATGTAATAAAGAACATTATATTTTCACTTGGACTGTGTGTTGGGTCTTCTCATCATCTTCATCACCCCCACTCTCACCTTTGGTGGTGCATGCTGTTTTTCCCCAACCTCACAACTGGTGGCAGAAGATCTAACCATTTCCAACCCTCACAGTATTCAAATGTTGTTTTATCGGTATTACTGGTCACTTGGCTTTTATTAAAAAAAAGGGCGGGGGGGCTGTCTGAAAATGGGTGGGAACCTGAGCTGTTATAGTAAGAGATGTGCCATATCTTAAGGTATTTATTTATCTGTCTGCTTGGATTTAAACTGCTGTATGAATAGACTTACACATAACTGCAGTGATTTTTCTTGTTGAATGAAAATGCTTAAATATCTTCATTGGTATGCATTGATATTTGAATGAGCTTAAATATCTGCTGGGATATGCCCTTTTATATGAATGTCTTTATGTCTGCTGTGATATCGCCTTTTATATGAATATGTCTCTATAACTGCAGAGATATGCCCTTTTATATGAACATACCTTTATATATACAGGGATATGCCCTTTTAAATGAAAATGACTTTATATATACATGGATATGCCCTTTTAAATGAATATGCCTTTATATCTGCAGGGATATGCCCTATTATATGAATGTTTTTATGTCTGCTGGGATATGCCCTTTATATGAAATGCCTTTATATCTGCAGGGATATGCCCTGTTTGGTCACTGTGTGGTGTTGTTTCTGGGCACCGTCATACACACATCACATGATCACATGTTTTTTTACCTGCTGTGGGCTGGTGTTGGTGGTCTCTCCACTCTAAGGATGGTATGTAGATGATGTGTGGTTTGTTATGTGGTGTCTTCACACTAATGATGGCTTGTATGTGTTGTGGTGTTGGTGGTCTCTCTACTCTAAGGATGGTATGTAGATGGTGTGTGGTCTGTTATGTATGGGTTATATGGTGTACCCACTCTAAGGATGGTATGTGTATGGTGTGTGGTCTGTTATGTGGTGTCTTCACACTAATGATGGCTTGTATGTGTTGTGGCGTTGGTGGTCTCTCTACTCTAAGGATGGTATGTGTATGGTGTGTGGTTTTTTATGTATGGGTTATATGGTGTACCCACACTAAAGATTGTGTGTGTATATGTTGTGTGGGTTATGTGGTGTCTTCACAGCAAGGATTGTATGTATATGTGTGTAGTCTGTTTGTTCTATGTATGGGTTATATGGTGTACCCACACTAAAGATTGTGTGTGTATGTTGTGTGGGTTATGTGGTGTCTTCACACTAATAATGGCTTGTATATATTGTGGTGTTGGTTGTCTCTCCACTCTAAGAATGGTATATATGTCATGTGGTCTGTTATGTATGGGTTATATGGTGTACCCACACTAAAGATTGTGTGTGTATGTTGTGTGGTCTGTTATGTGTGTGTATGTTGTGTGGAGTATGTGGTGTCTTCACACTATTTGTGGCTTGTGTGTGTTGTGGGGTTGGTGCTCTCTCCACTTAAAGGATGGTATGTGTTAAATGGGTTATGTGGTTTACCCACACTTGGGTTTGTATGCATATGGTGTGTGGTCTGTTTGTTCTATGTGTGAGTTATGTGGTGTATCCAAACTAAATATTATGTGTGTTGTGTGGGTAATGTGGTCTCTCCACAGCAAGGATGGTATGTATATGGTGTGTGGTCTGTGAGTACTTTGGACAGGGTCTATGGTGCAAGTTGACGAACAATGTAGGATGACGATCAAATAGAGAGTACAGAATGTTGTTGCTATATTTCCATATTTTATTATGTACAATACATACGGCTACATTGACGACAGACAGGACGACGACTTCCGCAACCTCACGCAATGAAAACAATACTCAGGCTGACTTTAACTCCTTTCCTAACAACCAGCCAACACTCTCCTACATCACATCCTTATTTACTTTGTCGCGCATTCAGAATCTTTTATCAATCCCACTACACACATACTCTCAATCTTATTCAATACACTAAAGTCCATTCACAACAGTTATGTATGGGTTATATGGTGTACCCACACTAAAGATTGTGTGTATATTGTGTGGGTTATGTGGTGTGTCCACATTAATGATGGTTTGTATGTGTTGTTTGGTCTCTCCACAGTAAGGATGGTATGTATATGTTGTGTGGTCTGTTAGCTGTATGTGTGTGATGTGGTGTCTCCACACTATATGGTCTGTTAGCTGTATGTGCTGTTTTTATGTGAAACCAGAGAGGGCAGATTGTCCACAGAACATTTACTTCTACTGTCAGGTGTTAGTCAGCTACTTAACACATTGTGGTCCTTCACTGTACCTATATATATGTAAGTCCCATGTGTCCTGAGCACTGAAGGGAATGATGATAAATGTATCATATATTATATATTTAGAGTTGCCTCTTCTTATCTGTATCTACTTCCTTCAATTTCTTTATATAAAAAGCAGTGTCTTGATGCTTGACGCATTATGTCCAAGTAAATCTTGACATAATCTTATCATATCCATCTTGACTTAATCTATCAAGCTCATCTTGACTTAATCTTATCATATCCATCTTGACTTAATCTATCAAGCTCATCTTGACTTAATCTTATCATATCCATCTTGACTTAATCTATCAAGCTCATCTTGACTTAATCTTATCATATCCATCTTGACACCTACCAAGCCCATGTACCATGTCTCTCTATGTTCTCAATAAACCATACAGTTGAATGTTATGTTGTTACCCTATCAGGCAGGTATCATCATGTCAAGAACCAGAGGTAAAACAGAACGTCTCATTGTCATTGGGACCATAGCTGCTCTCCACCTCTTGTTTCTGCTCTACTTACATTTTGCATATCACACCATTGTAGAGGGTGAGTACTGATTGACCTGTAAAGTTAGAGCATCAAATGGCTGTGTTAGTGTAGGTAGCTGTGTTTATGTAGGTAGTTGATTGCTGTGTTAGTGTAGGTAGTTGATAGCTGTGTTAGTGTAGGTAGTTGATAGCTGTGTTAGTGTAGGTAGTTAATAGCTGTATTATTATAGGTAGTTGATAGCTGTATTATTATAGGTAGTTGATAGCTGTGTTAATGTAGGTAGTTGATAGCTGTGTTATTGTAGGTAGTTGATAGCTGTGTTAGTGTAGGTAGTTGATAGCTGTGTTAGTGTAGGTAGTTGATAGCTGTGTTAGTGTAGGTAGTTGATAGCTGTGTTAGTGTAGGTAGTTGATAGCTGTGTTAGTGTAGGTAGTTGATAGCTGTGTTAGTGTAGGTAGTTGATAGCTGTGTTAGTGTAGGTAGTTGATAGCTGTGTTAGTGTAGGTAGTTGATAGCTGTGTTAGTGTAGGTAGTTAGAAATTTCTTATGTCCTGAATCAGTAATTAGTTCTATACTTTGGTGTATTTTATTCTGTGCACCAAATCATTATTTAATTCCATTCATTGCTGTATTTTATTTTGTCACTAGAAATTTCTGATGCACTGAATCAGAATTTAGTCCATTCATTGTTGTATTTTATTTTGTCACTAGAAATCTATGATGCCCTGAATCAGAATTTAGTTCCATTAATTGCTGTATTTTATTTTGTCACTAGAAATCTATGATGCCCTGAATCAGAATTTAGTTCCATTCATTGCTTTATTTTATTTTGTCACTAGAAATCTCATATGTCCTGAATCAGAATTTAATTCCATTCATTGCTGTATTTTATTTTGCCACTAGAAATCTCTGCGCCCTGAATCAGAATTTAGTTCCATTCATTGCTGTATTTTATTTTGTCACTAGAAATCTCATATGTCCTGAATCAGAATTTAATCCCATTCATTGCTGTATTTTATTTTGTCACTAGAAATCTCTGACGCCCTGAATCAGAATTTAGTTCCATTGCCAGTAGCCAATGAAGAAGAAATGGCGGTACCAGTAGCTGGTATTAAAGAAGAAATTGCTGACAAATCTGGTATGTCATAAGCATGTCCATGTTATTTATTGATTCATTTTGTTATCTGTATTATTGGGCTTAAAAGTAATTTTAACAATTTATTTTATAGACCTTATTTTCATTCTAACTGCATCGCCATGAGATTTTTTGTTAGGCTAAAATCAAATATTTCTTGCATATAATTATTTGCAATGAGAGTATTTGTTAAAACATTGCTGCTTACAATTAATGAAACAATTTGAGATTGTCAACAGGATTATGATTACACAATTAATATAACAATAAACATAACAATGAAAAAAATCTAATTTTCAATATAGTGTATAGTGATTAATATGTTTGTTAATTTTACAAAAAGAAATTGCAAGAATTTACAAATTTATTACTTTTTTATTTATCTTCTTACTTCAACCAAATTTCAATGTGTAATTATCACATATTTAAACAATATAAATTACCTTCTTTACTCAGCGTCTAGCTTAATTTAGCTCCTGTGTGTTTTTTTAATACATATAATGTTTTGAATTATTAGCAAGTTTATTATTTCAAACAATCTGTTTACACGAACCCTTGAAAGAATGAATTGATTTGGTGTTTTGAAAATTTTCCTAAAAATAAAGATAACATCTCTTTAACACTTCTGTTAATGATAGCCAAGTTATAAACTGTCATTAACTCAAGTAGTTTTTAAACTGTCAACAACTGTTTCTAAACTGCCCCCTATTTTTACAAAAGTTTTTAAACTACTACCAGATTTAACAGTTTTTTAACAGTCAGCAACTGTTCCTAAACTGTCCCTTATTTTTACAAACATTTTTAAACTGCCACCAAGTGTAGCAGTTTTTTAACTGCCAGCAACTGTTTGTAAACTCTCACCTATTTTATTAAAAAGTTTTTGAACTCTTGGCAATTGTAACAGTTTTTATACTGCCAGCTGCTGTTACATGACACCACATTGCCTCCCACATCTTGCACTTGTACTTTCATGTCAGCTAACACCACTAGTGTGACACTAACAAACTGTTGGCATAACACAGCACGTCTAATCTTCCACACAAAAACTAAACTCCCCCCCGCACCATTTTTACAGCACTGAGCCCGGCGATGGACCAAGGTACGAAATTAATTCCGCCTGTCTTGAACAATCCATCGCCAGCTGTAGACTTGGTGCAGAACAATGCATCCAATGTTGTTGATGAAGCACATGTGCCACCTGAGCTGGGTGACAAGCCAGAGTCTATCATTCTGGAGAATCTCAGAGGCAAAATGGCTGCTCTTTAACAGGCAATTTATCTCGCTCTTTAAATGCTGTATTACCCCTCGCACTGTAAACTATTTGTTGGTGTTTTTTTTATATATCCTTCCGTTGTTCTTGCACAGTGAATTCACAACTTTCATTCCTATTTGTTTTGTTTTTTATTACGGCTGTTTTGCGTCTCTTAACATTACTATTTTCATACTTACCTGCTGTGATATAATGTTTTCTCCTTTTTCTCCTGGTTTCTGGTTATAAACCTAAATATGCTAATCCCTTAATCTGTTATCAAATTTTCAGTATTGAAAATTTGTTAAATCAATTAGATTTTTTTACCCAATCAAATTAGTTTGTTCTACATTGACCAGCACAATACTGGACTCATGAAAAAAAAAATTAGTTTTCATGTTTAATAACTGCCAATGTATGGTATATTTACAGTACTTAAAGATTTTAAAATGTCTACTTTTGTTTTTATTTTTAGTTCAAAATCTTTTGTTTTTTTACTGTTACTGATATATATATATATTTTACTGCAGTGGTTAGTGTACCACTACATAATGTTTTTACCACTATTCATTGCTTAGTGCTGGGAATGTTGTTTATTTTTTGCTTGCTTTTGACATGTGTGCATTGTTTCTTATTTTAAAATATCTTCTTTTTAAATACATCTCAAAAACATCAAACAATTGCATGATATTGCGGAATTATTTTTTCCCTATTGGCCTAGAATACAAGTGTTAGTTTTATCCACATCAATTATAAAACTATCCTTTTCTGTTTTTTGTTTAGTTTTATTTACCAGTATGATTATTGTTAAAGCTATCTACATATCCAATGTATTTTTTTATTATTATGTTTTAAGATATTATTCCCAATGTGGAGCAATGATTAATATTAAATTACTAGTGTTCTTTAGTACCCTTAACTTTAAATATAATATTTTATAAACAATTCATCAGTTTGTTCCTTTGCTCTGCTGTTGTGGTCCACTTCTTCACCATACTCCACACCCACCCTATTTACTTACATTAGCAATTTAACATTTACATGTTTTATTTTCACTCTTTGAGGTTGATTTCCTTGTTTATGCAGACAAGGCTTTGCATGTAGTATATGAATGTGCATGGGCCTTTGGTAGTAAATACTTGTAGCTAATTGTTGTTGAAATTTACTAAATACCTGCTGGGTTTGAACACTTATTATACAGTTTATATTTTCTTTCTTTCTTTTATTTTTTTCAGATTCGCAAATGTGAGTTTTCACAAGATCACCATAATATATTAGGCCTCTATTGAAGTAGATATTGTTCTATTATGTTATTGACTTATTCAATCAACCAGTCATATAAAATAATTGCATACATAAAAATGTTCAACAACTTAAAGTATGTTAACCTTTAATTGAATACACAAAAATGTTCAACAAACTTAAAGTATGTTCACCTTAAGCGGCATTATTGATTTAAAGGACAATGTAGTTAATACTTCGGTTAACGTTTGGGTGTTGTTTTTTTTCAAACATTGGTATATATTTAAATTCAACTGGACTTATTAATGCCTGAAAGATTAAAACAATAACATAAGCTCTAAGTTATAGACAAATATTTATTTTATGCTTTTTCTACTGTGTGATGACTAAGGATTGTGTATGTTGCAAACTATAGCAAATAATTATTTTTTTTTATATTGCTGAAAACAGTATGTGGGATTTGTTCTGGTTTTTCTCCTTGTACAAATTGTAAATAACAAATAAACCAATTTTCATTTTTCAACTTGTTTTTTCTTTCTTTTTTAATCAAATAGCCATACTGTTACTAATAATATTTCTGCAGCCCTATCACAGTACATCACTTATTCTAAGTAAAGTTCCATTCTTTTAACCTGATGGTCCTGAGGCAAGTGAAGTAGAGTTCACCTGTTTCTGTGACCTCTGCATATGAAGGGATAGTGTGAACAGCACTATACCCAGCTACTTTTACTTTCCCTAACGTGAGTTAGGTACCCAAAGGAGTTGGGTGGACTCAGAGATATTCTACTGATGTGAACTCGGATTTGAATTTAACTTTCGGGTTAGCAGTCTAGAGCTATTTAAGCCACACCATTCTATAACATTTACTATAAACATACCATAAATATGACACATCAAATATATGATGATGATAATAATTACGGGTCATTTATTTTATTTTGTTTGTTAGAAGTGGAAAAACAAATTAAAACTAATTTAAGTCCTAAAAGAATAAGTGAAGTCAAACAATTATTAAATCTAAATTTATTTTTACTAAAAGAAAAAGCCGAAATAAATTTCTTTCAAGCTTTTTTTTTCTGGACATATACTGCAAAGTTGTATAGCAAGAAGTGTTTGCAAACATAGAGAGAAATACTTTGATTACATAAAATAATATTTTAGAAATAAATAGGTAATACATTATGTTGAATACTTGGAACATGGAGGGAATAGATGATACTGAGTCAACAATAACAGCAATAAATAAACTTGCATCTTCTTATTAATAATTTAAAATTTATAAATCATCTAAAATGTAAAAATCATTTAAAATTTATAAATAATTGAAAATCACAGTACATAATTATATAATTCTTCACTTAAAAAATAATTAATATAAATATTCTAGTTAAATATTTCTTAATATAATTTTTTTTTTCACGTTGATTTTTTAAATTGTTTTTACATTTGTAAAAATGTACCAACAAAAAAGTAGTTAAAGGTTTAAAATTTTCTAGTATAAGGTGTCTCAAATGTTAAATTTTTTTCTTCAAACACATTTTTTGCATTGTGTTTCCTTGCATATCTTAAGAAAGCATATATATTAAAAAAATACAATGCCATGAAAAATTAAGAAACAAATGACATACATTTATACATCAACTGACACCATACGGTTTTAATGTTAACAACAATTTCTAGTTTATAAAAATTGTCGAATTCACCAAGATTCTACATTTGTTTATTATAGTTCCGAAGTTAAATGTTTTATAAAATGTTAAGAACTATTGCACAGAAACAGGATAGTAAAAGCAAATTATAAAAAATGTTTTTTTTTAAAAATCACTCTGTTGTATATATTTATTTAAAAAAAAAAAACCACATTTAAATCCTATTTGTTGCTTCGATTTTTGAACAAAATACATCTTCAAGTTCTCTTCATCAGAAGCGCTCTTATACTTTCACAAAAATCAATTAAATCATTTAATATACCATTAAAAATCATCCTCTAAGCTATCTCGTGTGGGTAAGTTATTATCCTCAACGTCATTATTTTCTTCTACGTCTTCCTCTTCATTATCGGCAGCTTCGTAAATGACAGGCTCTTCTTGGAAGGAGACATGTTTGCTGATGTGTTTTGATTCGGACAGATTTGATCTGTCCTCTTGTTCAGACAGGTCCTGCTGTCCTTCAGTGAGTTGGTCTTCGTGCTGTCTTGTGTAGTCTAGGTCTTTGTCAAACTGTCTTGAGTTGTCTAGGTAGGAGTCTAATTCTTGGTCTAGCTGTCTTCTCTTGTCTTCAATGTAGTCAAGGTTTAGTTTGAGAATGTTTTGAATTTCTTCCGTTGATTTGTGGTCTGTTGGACTTTGTGGTTGGTCATCCTCTTGTACAAAGTCTTCCTGTGGCTGCTCCGTTATTTCTTTTGATGTTGCGCTTTCTTCTTGAGATAGTACCTCGTCTAAATCAGATGGTGGCCTCTCTTCTTGAAGTGGTGTTTGGTCTGATAGGGTTGGTGCCCTTCCTTCTTGAGACGATACTAGGTCTTCTGGTGAGAATGCCCTTTCATCTTGAGATACTAGGTCTTCTGGTGACAATGCCCTTTCATCTTGAGATGATACTAGGTGTTCTGGTGACAATGCCCTTCCATCTTGAGATGATACTAGGTGTTCTGGTGACAATGCCCTTCCTTCTTGAAATGACACCGTGTCTTCTGGTGACCGTGCCCTTTTATCTTGAGATGATCCCAAATCTTGTGACAGTGCCCTTTCTTCCTGAAACAGAACCTCATCCTCTAGAGAAGCTTGCAGGTCTGCCTTGCTTCCCCGTTCAGCTGAGTCTGAGCTGGAACGTTCAGAGCCGTCATCTTCCGAGTCAGTTTCATCAAAGTACTCCAGACTTTCCGTCACTTCCACAAGATCTTCAGCGTCTTGACTTGAATCAACTACCTCTTCTGTCTTGAAGTTAGGCGTGGTTGATGTAGTAGCTTCGTTGTTGTTGTGTCGTGGTGTCATTTCTTCAGGTTTTAAAGACTCTTGCATAGAAATTGAATCAGATTCTTTACTGCTGGAAGAAGAACTACTCAGATAAGGGGCGAACAATTTCGACTGTTTGGCTAAAACATGCTTGGGTGCACCTTCCTCCGGGGGGAAAGGCACTTTATAAGGATTAGCATTATTGGCGATAGGTATGTTGTTAGGATTAGTGGCAACAGCTTTGTGAAGATTAGGATTAGCTGAGATGGGTCTGCGAGGAGATTTGGACATTGTCGGACCGATGTCTGGCCGCGCGCTTGTCGGACGACTTGACAAGTTAGTCTTGCTGCCGGAGATCTTTAACTTATTGCTGGCATCAACTTCCTCATCCAAGAGGAAGCTCCCTCCACCAAATGACTTGTTAAGCCGCTCGTCTAATCTTCTTATACCTGTGTCGATTCTCTTCTTGCCTCGTTGAATGTTTTCAATCCGTTTCTTAGCTAATTCAGGCATAATCCTCTCTAGTTCCGGATCCGATTTAGCCAGAGCTCGTAGTCTAGCAGCTTCTTGTCTTTTAGCATAATCCTCTTCTCTTTTCTTAAGCAGCCACTGGTCATACGACACTCTCATTTTTTTCGATTTCTCCTCCGCTAATTTTTTTTCAAAGAGTTTCGCTTGCAGCTCTGATTTCTTGGCGTCATCTTTCTTTTCCTGTTGAAGTTTCATCAGTCGGACTCTGCCGGTGACTGGACGCTTGTAAACAAATTTAGTGGGAGGCGGTCTTGGTGTTATGGCCCTGTCTTCATTGTGAGTTATCTCCCTTGAAGACTCGGGACGTACAACCATGTTAAAATTAGGGGCAGATACTGGTCGCACTTTACCTGAATTCCTTTCAGCTAAGTATTTTTCTTCTTCCTTCTGTCTTTTTCTTTCCTCTTTTGCGTGTTGCAATGCTTCTTTTCGTTTTTTTATCATCCATTCTTCCACCACCTTCCCCGAATCTTTAAACTGTTCTTGCCTTGCCTTCTCTTCTTCCTGTTTTTTCAATCTCTCCTCCTTCGCTTTCTTCCTTTCTTCATACTTTTTCTTCCGCAGTTCCTTCTCTTTCATTTTCAGCCATTTTTTAAGCTCTGGGTTTGTGCTGTTTTTCAGGTGTGTATCGGTGAGTTTCGGTGAGTGGCTTCTACTTCTCTTCTGCTCCTGTGTTCCATGATCTGTATCATCTCCACTAACATTACTGATATTACTATTTCTTCTATTATTTTTATCTTTTTTTTCAACATGCAAATTTTCGTTACTAGGTGCCCTATGTTTGTTTACATGATGTTCAGTGTTGCTATGGGACAACTTCCTGTGTGGAACAGCTGAGAGTGGCCTCCTCCTGGCTGTCTGTGGTCTCTGGGATGTTTGTGGTCTGTGGGCTGACTGAGGTCTGTGGGCTGACTGAGGCCTGCGTGCATCAGTGGCGTAGCTGAGTACTTGTGCATTCCTCATTGGGCTGTAACCCCCATCTGTGTTGTCCTGTGTCACTGTAATTAATTATATATTGGGTTAATTAATTTTTAATACATATACATTGTCTAGCACTATTGCGGACTGGGATGATTTTAACTTAGGCCTTAACCCCTCCTTACTGCTCTAACCCTACTTCTCACAGCATAACCATGACATGAAATTGTATCTCTATATGGATAAAAATACCAAATGTTTGAGTTTTTTGACAAATATTGATCAATCAAGTTACAAAATAAGCTAACCTATTAAAATAATATTAATGTGAAAATAATTTTTATCTTCAAAAATTTGGTGTGGTGAGTGAAGCTTCAGTTTCTTAATAATGATAATGAAGGTTCAAATCCTTAGATATTACTATGATAATCCTACTGGGCTGTATAGACCCCCTTGTGGTAACCCTGATCACTTCTAACCCTGCTAGCCTACTCAGACCCCACTAAGCCAAACAATACTGCAAAAAAAACACATATTTATAACATTAACTGGATTAAAATTAAATTAATGCGGAAATTTGTTTTTAAAAACAAAGATTTTTATAAACTGTTAAACAAATTGAATTAATGAAAGGAATTTTTATTTTAATTCATAAAAGAAAACTAATTAGTGAAGAGATATTAATAATTAAAACTTACATTCAACGAAGACTTTTCTCTTAGAATCACTGGTGCAGGCAGTGTAGAGCTGATTGGTCGCGTACATACGTTGCAGCTGTTCCGTACTCAACTTGTGTGTGTTTGACGTATGAACTAGGGGTGTAATCATCAGCTGGTGCAGCTCCTGTGTAATTATCACAATACTGTCTTTAAACATTGGCTTCCCCTTCTTTTTAATTATTATCTCCCCTTTAAGCCTCTCATTTATCTCCCTTTTGAACCTTCCAGTTTTTATCTCCCTTCTAAACTATACGATTTATTATTTTTTTATGTCCCTTTTAAACCCTCTAATTGTGATTTCCCTTCTGAACCTTAAAATTATCTCAGTAAACTCCCTTATAAACCCTTGCATTTGTATCTCCTTTTAGAATAATTCATTTTAATCTCCCTATTTAACCAACATATCATAATCCAAATGCAGTTAACATTAATACATTAGTAAGACTTTAGAAAAGTCAAAAGAGGAAAAGATCAGAATACACATGTCACTAAACTTTCCACTACCACATGATAAATAAAGATTACAAATTGTTTTAATATAAGAAAATAAATTAACTTAAAGTTACTTCTATATTATTTAATTTTTAAAGTTATGTCCATTCAAATGTTGAAAGGTTCCAAATAGAAGGCTAAAAAAAAAATGTTAAACATGGCTTTCTACAGAAAAATTTTTAAATATTATTTTAACCATTATTTTTCAAAAAATCTGGCAAACCTTAAAATTAAATGTGAATGCTAATCACCTGGTATTTCTGTACTAAAACATCTCCTTTTGGCTCAGGACCTGCACAATGTGGCCGCGTGATTTGCTTCCTACGACTTAACTTCTTTCTGCTGGTTGGGTTAGTGTCACTCATTGTGTCCTGCATTGAACTCTGGTCATCTGTTTGGTCAAAGCTGTGGTCATCTCTTTGGTCTGGGCCATGGCCATTTTTTAGTTCTAATCCTTGGCCATCTCTATGTTTTTGACTATGGCTATTTGTTCTATGTGAGCTATGGTCATCTCTTTGATCTGGGCCATGGCTATCTCTCTGTTTTTGACTATGGTCATGTTTTAAGTCTGAACCTTGTCTATTTTTTAGCTGTGTGTTGTGGTCGTATCTAGGGCTATGTTTCCTTTGGTCTGGGCTGCGGCTTTTTCTCTGATGTGAAATACGGTCACCTACAGATCCATGGCCAGTTTTGTGATGTGACGTCGTGAGATCATCTTTTAAGGCTGGGCTTTGACTTGACCCTCCCCCTACAGGAAGGCTCGGAGCTGGGCGAGGTTTTCTTTTACTAAGTTGTTTCTTTTTCTTCTTTAAAATTTTCTTCGACTTTCCTTTCCCATCATCGTCTACTTCGTTATTATTTTCTTCACGTAAATCTTCTGCACTGTCCATATCTTGACCTCTGAACTTGCTAATTTGTATCTCAGGTTTTAACCTACTGCCTTCGTTCAAATTTCTATGGTGGGTGTCTGCATTTGGTGCTGTTATTTCTTCATTGGTTTCAGAAGGCCCAGCACCATTTTCTTTGTCGCTGTCTGTTCTTTCATGCTGCGGCCCTGATGACTCAGCAACTAGTGTCTGGTGAAATAGTGAAACAAAATTTAGCAAATCATGGATGCTTTACTTTTTAATGTATATATATGTATATATATGTATATATGTATATGTATATATATATATATATATGTATATATATATGTGTATATATATGTATATGTATATGTATATGTATATGTATATGTATATGTATATGTATATGTATATGTATATGTATATGTATATGTATATGTATATGTATATGTATATGTATATGTATATGTATATGTATATGTATATGTATATGTATATGTATATGTATATGTATATGTATATATATATATATATATATATACATATATATACATATATATACATATATATACATATATACACATATATACATATATACATATATACATATATATACATATATACATATATACATATATATACATATATATACATATATACACATATACATATATATACATATATATACATATATACATATATATATATACATATATATATATACATATATATATATATATATATATATATATATATATATATATATATATATATATATATATATATATATATATATATGTGTGTTTGTGTGTGTGTGTGTATATATTAATTAATTTATTTATCTATACATGCATGTTTGGAGAGTTGGTGGTTGGGGGCAATTTATTCTGGCTAATATTTAGTTGTTTTTTTTAAATTGTTATATGTGACCTTTACTTTTTATTTAGAGTTCAGATACATGTTAAAAACAAAGACTCAGGTATTACAACAATCTTTTGATAATGATATTTTAAAACGGTGGAAAAGTCAATGTAAAATATAAATACAGTACCTGAAGGAAACTTAGAAGCTCAGGGTCAAGAGGGCGTGCCATTGAGGTCGCTGACTGGCCTATGGTTGCTGATCTACAAGAATAATTCAAAACATGCCCATCTTATGATAATAGTTTTATGGGAAATCATGGGATCTCTGTTATGATAAGAAGAAGGAACTTCAAAATATGTAAAAAAAAAAAAAACAACTTAGCAAACAACATAGATGTTTGATGTAGCCAGAAGATTAAAACTTATCAATCTTATGTTAATATGTCTATGAGAAATCATGACTGCACAGTTATATGTAACCATACATAAAAGTTGCTATAAAAAAGATCAATATTTCAGGCATACCAGGTTGTTTTTTTTCCACATTTTTATTATATATAAATAGCCAATAATATCTTTATGCCAACACTAACATATTTAATGAAAAAACAGTGCAATGAAATTTCCCTAAAGCTTTAATCAAGCATGTTACCAAAAGGTCCAATAATACATAGGCACAATTTATTAAAATGAAAAATCATAGTAACCTTATTAATTTACTTACAAATTAAAAAAAAATTCCAGGGCTCATTTTGCATCAGACAGCCCTTATATTATGTTTAAAATAATACCGTAAAATATTTCACATAGCAGGGGAGATAACCGATTTTAGTATGGTTTGATTTATCATGGTTATTTCCCTTTGACCATAATTTGGTAATAATCACGTACAATTTATCGCAAGAATCTGCCACGAACTATTTGTTAAAGATAAAATAAGAAAACACGCCAAATATTAAATACAAATCATGAACTAGGTTCGTATATTCCGCAGGATTTGGTTATAATTTTCGATAAAAATGAGTTAACATAAAACACACAATTTAAAAGGTAAACACACGGATAAATACTGTAAAAAGTGTTCACATGTCCAGCATATCGATATATATCCTAGTGATATTGATTAGAAGTCGTGTTTTGGGTTTGTTACGGGCCAAAGCTGAGCTAGGGATCAATTTTCCCGACGTTACACGGGTGAGTCAAGTCATCAATCATGGATTGAAACCAAGAACCTACTAAACACCTGAGCTGCCGTCTGCAAAAAATCGATTCGGTGAGAACTAGAATGTTACATTCACAAGACCCCCCCCCCCCCCACACACACACACTCCTTCCTTTTTTGCAATATGTCCGGAAAGGCATGGTCAAATAGTAGAGCATTCGACTGCTAACCTGAAAGTCTCGAGTCTGTAAGGAGATCCTGACTATTTGAAGGAAGTTTGGACTACTGGTAATTTGACTATGCCTTTGGTTTAGGGGTAAATCTTGCTATTTTCTATAAATAAACTCTTGGGGAACGGCGTGGTCGAAATTGGATCTTGGTCTGAAATGTAAGACGTCCCTGAGTTCACCCAGCTCTAATGGGTACCTGACTCACGCTAAGGGGAAGTAAAGGCGGCTGGGCAAAGTGCTGATCACAATATCCCTTCATATACCGAGGTCACTAAAACCAGGTGAACTCTATATCCCCTGCACCATAGCCCCCCAATATTCAAACATTACTTACTGACTAACAGAACCGAGCTATCCAATAACAAGTTTCATCTCTTTGCTTTCGTTGGGACACAAGACATAAGGGGAGGTGGACGTTTTCCCGAAAGACACTTGCCCAAATGCCGTTTACCCGAAGGCCGATTTCCAGAATGGACACTTGCCCTAATGAGACAAAAGCCCAGAATGGACACTTGCCCGAATGCGACAAAAGCCCAGAATGGGCACTTGCCGTAATGCGACAAAAGCCCAGAATGGACACTTGCCCTAATGCGACAAAAGCCCAGAATGGGCACTTGCCCGAATGCGACAAAAGACCAGAATGGACACTTGCGCTAATGCGACAAAAGCCCAGAATGGGCACTTGCCCGAATGCGACAAATTCCGACATAGACATGACTAAAGACGGGTGTCCTAAATTATGACTTCTGCACTCTTCTGTGATAGGGTTTTCTAAGTCAGAAGTCAAGTCATTAGATTAATGACTTGAAACTTGTATCTTGTGATTTGTATCCTTAAGTACGACTTGTATCCTAACTTATCCCCTAATAGCGCAAGTCAACCACAGACTCTGTTTCCTACCTACATTCAGTCCTGTCTTTATAAAACAAAAATCAATAGCTCGAACATTTATCGTGCAGATACCGGTAGTTCAAGTATTTGGATCGATTTGGTTTATTGAATACACGGACAAACACGACCGTGATTTCAAAAGCCCAAACGAAATCTGGTTAAGTTAGTTTTTAACTCCAAGGTAAAGTTAAAGCGCACTTTAAAAAAAAAAAAAAACTTTCATAAGTTCAAGGACATGAATATTAAAATTGAAAGTTTTTTTGTTTTTTATGTTGACGCTAGCGACCGTTGGGTGAAGTTAGAAAATCGGGAGATCGTTAATTAAATCTTAATCAACTGTATTGTTTAAGGTGACGTCTAATTGAAGATTCGTTTAGTGACGTTAATTACTGATATGGGAAAGAACTGGGGGGTGGGGGGGGGGGGTTGTAAACTAAACTTGGGGAGTAAGCTATTGCATTGACCATCCTAAGTTGATGTAGGATTATATGAATTATTCGAATTAAGGGATTGGGGTGGTAAAACTCATGGTACTAATTCGAAAATCCCATTAAGCCGTGTACTATCTAAACTTAGACTGTGCGTCAGGTGGAGAAGATGGCACAGGACAGAGGTATCTGGAGAACTTTGGTAGGTGGCTCATACCCCAGCAGGGGTGACGGTCATTGACGTAATGATGGTCCAACAGCTCTACAGATACTCCAACAGTCAGACTACGCCCAATATCAGGTTAACCAAGCCATTACGGTAAAAATAAAAACGTGGAATGCTGCAAGGCTGCATGCTTAAATAGTTATCCATTGGATTAGTATAAGAACAACCTCGGATCAAAATGGTGGAATACAGTGGAACAACACCAAAAAGCTTTAAAAACCTCGACTTTGCGTACAACATCAGACTCCTCTCACATCCAGAGTTTCTTTCATACATCTCCGCCTCCCGAAAAAAAATCTACCCCCCCCCCCCCCGAATGAAATTGAAAATTTATGCTTTTACCAATTTCCGCCCCCCCCCCCCCCCCCCCCCGAAAAGTCTGAAAGAAACACTGCTCACACGACAACAGCATGTCCAGTTCAAGTTAAGAAAACTAAAATCAGACAGCTTACAGATCAACTTGGGAAAAAAAAGCCAGACAAGAACTCCCACTTGAGATACAAGGAACGATTATTTCAGAGGTAGAAAGCTTCACGTTATGTCTAGAAACCGAAGTGACCAATGATAGAGGAGCAGACGAGGACATCAAAAGCCGTGCCAACAAGACAAGGTAAGAATTTAACACCTTCGGCTCTCAGTACAATCTAGACGTCAAGAACACTATGAAGATTCATCGGCTAGGGGAAACAATTCTCTATGGTTGTGAAAGATTCATCAGCAAGGGGAAACAATTCTCTATGGTTGTGAAAGATTCATCAGCAAGGGGAAACAATTCTCTATGGTTGTGAAAGATTCATCAGCAAGGGGAAACAATTATCTATGGTTGTGAAAGATTCATCAGCAAGGGGAAACAATTCTCTATGGTTGTGAAAGATTCATCAGCAAGGGGAAACAATTATCTATGGTTGTGAAAGATTCATCAGCAAGGGGAAACAATTCTCTATGGTTGTGAAAGATTCATCAGCAAGGGGAAACAATTCTCTATAGTTGTGAAAGATTCATCAGCAAGGGGAAACAATTCTCTATGGTTGTGAAAGATTCATCAGCAAGGGGAAACAATTCTCTATGGTTGTGAAAGATTCATCAGCAAGGGGAAACAATTCTCTATAGTTGTGATAGATTCATCAGCAAGGATAAACAATTGTCTATGGTTGTGAAATATTCATCAGCTAGGGGAAACAATTCTCTATGGTTGCAAAATTTTGAAAGAAACACAAACTTCAAAATTTCGTAAATAAAATGCCAGAGGCGTATAATGAACACCAGACAGCCTGAGAAGATTAACAACAACAAACTATAACTCTAAGGGGAAAAGACACAAAACCGCAATAACATAGAAACACTTCAGTGCAAATGGCATGGACTGGACAAACCTTGTGCAAACCAACAAACAACATCGCCAGATACTAGATCTATTAGATTAAACAAAACTGACAAATAAAGCAATGTTGAAAATGTAACTAACATAAAATGTTAATGGATTATTTCAAAATTATCAAGGGAGACAATAAGTAACTATATTTAAAGGATATGTTAACATATGGATACATTCGATAATACACAATTGCACATGGGGTTTAATACTATTGTTTTATTATACGGAAGCATTAAAAACCTCATATTTGTTTTTCTTTTCAAGTTTTGTAAGTTATGGACTTAAGAATTACCGTCAAACTATAGTCTAGATTATTTCTATTCTAGAGCCAAGAAATCAGTGGAACGTTAGAATTTTAGACAAAGAAACAATTGACAATAGCACACACCTTTCTAGAGTGGAGAAATCTGAGAAACATCAATAGGTATGCTATTTAAATTGCCTTAGATTGCTATTAAAAAATTAACGGTATGGCATCTCCCCCAACTAGACAAGGTTGAGAGGTCGTTGTGATTTCACAACAGCATCTTTTTTATCAAAGCCAAATGGAGGCTTCTATATAACTGGACATTGAAAGGACCCTTAAACATTCACAGATCAGCAAAAAAAAGGGGGGAGGAGGGCACTCCCACATTTCTATAAGCTATTTTTGCTATTGAAGCTATGTTAGAAAGACTGCAACTACACTCAACTATCAATAAAACAAATAGAATTTTACAACACAACAGGGAGGGAAACTAATCACACATGCGGACAAAACAGATTTTCTATTTAAAAAAAAAAGATAAAAATAATTTTAAAAAACCACATGATTTTAGAACCTTTGGATATAGAAGCAGGGCAAAAGTTAGAACATTGTGATGGTTTATGAAAAATAAAAGCAATTGCCCCACTTACTTAACAAGACCCAAAACCAGTTTAAAAAATAGTTGCTGATTTTTTTTTTTTAATTTCAGACACAGTGTCGAAAGATGTGGTCAAACAAAATTTAAAGAAAATTAGATGGCTATAAATTTTACACAATAAAAACAGTAGGGTACATCGCTTTAGTGAACATCAATCAGAGTTTCTTCCAGGCATCTCTTCGGGGGGGGGGGGGGGGCTTTGCCCCCCAGAAAAATTTTTACTGCCCCCCCCCCAAACGATATGAAATGTATATAATTTATGTAGGAAATATATACTTTTAACAGTGTCCGCCCCCCCGAAGAAAGTCTACCACCCCCCCCCCCCCAAAAATTTCAAGTGCCCCCCCTCCCCCCCCCCCCCCCCGGAGAAAAAAGACTGGAAGAAACACTGGTGAACATGTTTATAAACTAGTAGCTATTTTACACAGTCTACCATGTTTCCCTAGAAAATGCCATTGGTAAAAAAAAATAATTATCAACAATTTTAAAATGTTATTTTTTATGCACCATTAGAGACTTCGACCACCTTCGTACGCCAAGGTCAAGATCTCTACTTCATTTTCCCTATGGATTGTTATGTCTGGATAGAGAACTTTACTATATGCCTAGTTGGATAGTTCAAACTTGCGTGCCCATCCCCACGTTGCTGCAGTCTCAGAAGAAAGTCTGACGTCATATTTTTAGAGGATTTCATCAAAGTTCTTCAGATACCTCTGTCCTATGAGTTACCAATCCTATATTTTTAAGACGTGTGACTTTGTTTTCTAAAACAGAGTTATTTAAATGTACATAATACCTACGCTAAATTTCTTGGATCATCTTTACCAGGGCGCCGGTGGACGCGGTTGGTTCAATTTAGTGAATGGCTGTAATGACACATCTTATCCATAGTCAATTGCACTAATATAGGCACCATAGCGCTCACAGGATAGCCCGCGGCGAAAAATCGCACCCTGTCCAAGAAATTAAACTTTTGTTTTCCACAGAAAACTCCACAAGAGTATTATCAACAACTTCCCAAAGTTTCTTGGCGATCGGATATAAGGTGTAGTAATACATAAAAGACAAGCAAATTAACAAACCCACACACAAACTTTGATTTGTATATACATAGATGTAGTGTGTAATGTGTGTTTGTGTAGTGTGGGAGTAATACGTTTGCATGTGTTGTGTGTAGGTATGCAGTTTGTGTGTATTCATGTGTTTTATGTATGTAATGTATGGTGCTTGTCAGTTTACTGTGTGTATTATATCTGTTGCATGGAAGTTAGTTGTGTGTGTATAATGTGCATAACATAAAGCATTAGTGTAGGCCTATGTGTAAGGCATGAAAAGTTGCACCCTTGCAAGACTGGTTGAACTTAATGAAAATATTTTTTTTTTAAATATTACAAATTGTTATGTGATAAAAAGTGCACTTGAACTTCCACATAAGGCTTTTTAGGTATCTTAAAAAGTTATTCTTTACAAGCTTTTTTATAAACCTATTTATTACATAGACATCTCTTTTCAAAAAACTTAACTTTTTAATAAAGTTAATAGGTTAAGTAAATGTGTTACTCCCCATTTAATGGTTAAAAATTCTTAAGGGAGACAACATTTAACTATATTCTAAAATGATTTTTAAGAAATGTAATAATAATTAAATAAAAATTGGGAATTTTTTGATATACTACATTAAATTGATATAAAACACCTTACATGAATATCTGTCTATAAATTATAATTCTTTAATATCAGACATATGATTTGACTAGTTTAAATAATACAAACCATTAGCTTTCTTAACAACTGAGTGATTTAACTTTGAAGTAACAAAAATTGAGTTTAATAAAAAAGGCCAGGATGTTGAAGTATTTCTGAGTTTATTTTTGACATTAATTCTGTGGTCCATTTCATCTTTATAGATCAGGGGTCGGCAACCTTTTGAGACGGAAGAGCCAAAAGTCACAATTTTCAGAATTTCCCAGTTTTTAAAGAGCCACTAACATTTTTAGTTTAATATTTTATTATTTGATTAGGACTAAGTAAATAAATGTGATTTATTTAAATTTTAAAGTTTTAAGTTTTTTAAGTTTTAAAAATTGAAATAATATGTATTCTTATAAAAACATTCACTTGTTTTGCCAGAATAATAAACTTAATAATCAAATAATATAACTATATGACTATCCCAATCCACTTTAGAAGCTGTTAACTTTTTTTCCTTCTTTACGGATATCACCGGCTCAGGAGGTGTCTGCCATTAGCAAAGCAGGCCTCAACACGGGCTAACTTCCACTAACTAGCTTGAATATATGTTCGTTAACCGTGTTTCGGTCGCTTTTGTCCTTTGGTTCTCACCAGGCTTATCTTCCACACCAATGAACGCAGGGTTAACTCATACCACATAGTCTAGTACCCGGTTCAATAGTAGGAAGATTATAACTAAAAAATAACTACGTCACTCTCGTCAAATTTATGATTACTGACACATATGGGAATGCATTCTGAATAAAATAATATTCGAAAAAGTCGGCACTAGGGCAGTGGTAAGCATGTAATTGTTGCCACGGGGCTGTGGGGCTGGGCATGGTGCCCAACAGTGTTTCTTCCAGACATTTTTCTTCGGGGGGGGGGGGGGGGGGGCACTTGAAATTTTCGGGGGGCGGGGGGGGGGGGGGCGGTAGACTTTCTTCGGGGGGGCGGACACTGTTAAAAGTATATATTTTCTATATAAATTATATAAATTTAATTTCGTTTGGGGGGCGGTAAAAAAATTTCCGGGGGGGGGGGGGGGCAAAGCCCCCCCCCCGAAGAGATGCCTGGAAGAAACTCTGGTGCCCAAGCTGCTGTCAGCTGTCCGAATACTTTCTACTGCACATATTCTCAATGTTCTCTGATAAGTGTTTTAATTCTGTTTAAAGTTGATTTTTTTACATTATATGTTTGATATGAGTTTTGAAAATGAAATAATACAACTATTAATATTTGTGCAAGGGGCTGGAGAGCCGCATCTTGACCGCAAAAGAGCCGCATGCGGCTCGCGAGCCGCAGGTTGCCGACCCCTGTTATAGATCAAAGGTTCCCAAACTGTGGGACGCTAAGGACCATCTGGGACGGGGGAGGGGGGAGGTCGCCAAGTGGTAGACTAAACCAAACAAAAAATTAATTTTTAGATGTTGCTTTCTGAACACACCAAAAAAAAAAATATGGAGTTCCTTTTCGGCATGAAGCTAGTTGCAAATGTCCAAGATTTTATCAAACAGAAAGTTTTCACCAAGGAAACACAACATTGGTGCAATCATCACATGGAGTTGCATTAGAAATTGCCAAGCAAAAAAAAACCTCACAATAGAAGAAAATCTCATTAAACCCTGCGATGGTGAAATTAAGTCTTGGGGATTCCAGTGCATATAGGGGTCATCCATAAATGACGTCACGCTTTTTTTTACGTTTTTTACCTCCCCCCTCCACTCTGTCACACGTCGTCACAAAAAGCCAGACCCCCCCCTAAAATGACGTCACACCTCAACCTACAACCCCCCCCCCCCCTCAAAATTGCAGTTGAATTTTTTTAAAACATCGATATTTTTCTAAAATCTTGTCTAAACTATTACAATTTATTAAAACAGTTAGGGGTCATCCATAAATGACGTCACGCTTTTTTGACGATTTTTACCTTCCCTTTCCCCCTTCCCTCCTTCGCACATCGTCACAAAAAGCCAGACCCCCCCTAAAATGACGTCAAACGTCAGCCTACAACCCCCTCAAAATTGCAGTTGAATTTTTCTTAAAACATCGATGTTTTTCCAAAATATTATCCGAACTCTGTCAACATAGAGTATTTTAATCAATTCTTATTACAATTTATTAAAACAGTTTTCTAATAACGGCTAAAATTCGTTTTCTAACATTACTTTTTGTTAATGCAAAAATGTGACTTCCCACCATCTAACACCCCCCTCCACCTCATCACACACCGTCACAAAATTACGGACTTTCCCCTCCCCCTATGAATGTGATGTCATTTATGGACGACTCCTTATCTAAAACGTGTAATAACCTCTAAAATTCGTTTTCTAACATTGCATTTTTATAATGCAAAAATGTGACGTTGCAACATCTGAACCCCCCCCCTCCCCCTCATCACACATTGTCACAAAATTACGGACCCCCCCTCCCCCCTACAACTGTGATGTCATTTATGGATGACCCCATAAGCAAAAAAGTTATTTGACATTGATCTGTTTAATATGCTCTAGCAATGTGCGTGTATTTTATATTTGATGATGTGTGCAAAGGAGTAGAAACTTTGCCAAAGATTAAATAATTTAAGTCGTTACATAAATAAACCCTACTTCATTACTTAAAATTTAAAATAAGACAATACGATGCAAGTAAAATGCACAGCATGTGTTGTTTATTTTTATTTATGGTTCTAGATTCTATATCGATGACTGACTGACACTGTACCTGGCTGCTTATATTATAGATTTATGTAATTTACTCACAGTTATATAAAAATTTATGAATAGTACAAGAATGATTCTTACGATTATAGATTCTTAATACTTAATAATACATTAATATAGATTAGATAGATCTAGATCTAGGAAGATATCTTTCAGGCATCTCTTCTGGAGCTCACCGCCCCCCCCCCCCCCCCAGCCCGAAGAGAGTCTACTGACCCCCTGAACAAAATGGAACTTGCATAAAATACATAAAAAACATACTTTTACCACTGTCGTCGTCCCCTCCCCTCCCCGGGAAAATTTTTTTTTTTTTTAAAGTTAAAAAAGGCTGGAAGAAAAACTGAATCAAGTTAAAATGACAAAATGAAACGAATTTACTAAGACTAAGAACAAAAACTAAAGCCCTGATAAAAGCACTGTTTTGTTATCTTGTTACTTAAAGATGTGTACATACATGTCGAATTAAAAACATCCAATAAAAGAACAACAGATATCAGCATGATGTTTGGAAGCCATGTTTATGGTTCCCATAATAAACACATACGAGAGCTTGTCTGTTTACTGAGTGTTCATTGGTTAAGTCAATTTATCAATTTAAAAAGAAATTATAATAACTGCTACCTTTCTTTTTATCTATATTGATATTTATTATTAAATATAAAATTATGTTTTATAAAAAAAATTTAGTACAATTATTTTAAATTATTCTCTTTAAATTTTTAATTAAAGGTAAATTATTTTACTCCCCGAGAATCGCTACCTCTCCATGGCGACACGAGAAGCCAAAAGCGGTTTATCGTTCCTTTGCTGACATTGATTAAAAAGTGATCATAAAATTCTCGCAGCATGAATGCTTTATTTGATTAGCGGATGTTAACATAACGGCACACTTTTGGCAGGGGGTTGTATTGAAGAGAGGTAATTGGAAATCGATGTATACTAGATCGCTTTCTACTTAACGTTAAAGACTTTTAAAGACGAATAAAATAATTCAGATCGATGGATCAATCAATCACCAATCAGGATTCAATGTTTTTGTTTGTTATTTTTTTGTTATTTTTTTTTTCTTTTCATTAGAACACTGTACTGTACTTGGTAAAAAAAAATAGAATTAAGCATTTTGTTTTAGTCTAAACTGAACTATTATAATAATTTAATTTAAATTTATGACTTTACTTTATGACTATGTTGATCAAATTGTTCTAGTCGTGTGTCAGTGTGTATTAGTTTAGTATTAGCCTCTCCCCCCCCCCCCCCCGTGACTATAACTTACTCTATCTCTAAGTCAGTGTAAGTATAAGCCACTATTCACTATAGTGTCTATACTGTTATTTGAATTGAATCACTTGCCTATATAGTATTAAGTATATATATATATATGCCCCATAGTTCTATAATATTCATATTGTACAGTACTCTGGCTGGGGCCTAAGGTTTTTTTTTTGTTTTTCTTTTTAAAATTATAATAAGAGATGCAGTCAGAGCAGTGGCGTAGCAAGGTCAGGTGTCACCCAGTGCTGCACTTAATGGTGTCACCCCCCAGAGGCGTAGCGACCCTTCCCGGGGACAGACTTTCAATTTTCATCCCCCCCCTTCAAACTTTTGATTAGCACCTCTTAAAAGACTATTTAACACTCGAATTAATAACTTAATTAAGTGGAATTATCATTTTTCTGTGTATATTTTGCTACTTTTTGCCTTGGTGTCACCCCCCTAAATGGTGTGACCGGGTGCGGTCAGCACCCCCGCCCCCCCCCCCCCTCGCTACGCCCCTGAGTCAGAGAGATTAACAACTAATTTACTTAAGTTAATTGACTATAATGAAGTAGATTATGTTATTTTAAAATCTATTTCATTGGGCTAATCAATTAATTGAATTATATATCCGTTACTTTAAAGGATTATATAGGCCTATCTATAGGTAGTATGTCAGTCATTCTTAATCTGGCTGAAAAGTTTTGTTGAGGCTATGAGTATTTCAAAATTGTTATGTTTAATCCCAGATCAACGGAGATGGATGACAAAGAAATAAAAATCCCCATAGCTGAAAGGGAGAACCTGATGGAGGACAAAATACCACACTATATAGGCTTCACCCCTAGGCCCATACAACGCCTAGCAACACAGAAACCACCCAGCACAATGGTCAGCATTGAGTGTAGACATTTCCTGAGAACAAAGAGTGAAAAAACACCACACCACAACCTCAAACGTGAATACCAGCTGTGGCTAAAAGCCGGTAAATCACCCCCCATCACGCCTGATCGGCCAGACACAAACTACAACAGCAGCGAATGGAGAAATTTTGCACGCCAGGTAGGGCTCAACTTCTCGGCCAGCGCGAGCAGCATCTCGGAAGCCGTTGCCGCTCTGTATCCCATGAACATCCCGCCGTCTTCCCAGCTTGGCAAGAATTCGTTTGAGAAGTTTTTAAGAGAGGCAAAACTGTTCAGAGATGAGAGGGCGAAGGCGTTGGCGATTCTCAGAGCAAAGAAGGAACAGAACTACATGAACTATCTCAGGTGGAAATCTGACGCCAGAAACCCACCCCAGAATGAAAAAGGTATGATGTTATGATGCATATAAGACAGAGTAGGGGAGGATGTGGTCAAATGATAGAGCATACGAATGCTAAGCAGAAAGTCCTGGGTTTATGTCCGTAGAATGTCCCAGAGTCCACCCAGCTCTGATAAGTACCTGACTCACGTTAGGGAAAGTAAAGGTGGTGGGGCATAGTGCTGACTAATCCTTTATTGAAACAGGTGAACTCTACTTCACCTGCCTCATGTACCTTCAAGTTTGAAAGGTTACTATTTTTTTAAAAGACAAGAGTGGTAGAATGGCTCAACACTTGATTTCTGATACAAAAGCCCCTAGTTCAGTTCCAGGGCTCATGCCTGTAGGATGACCTTTGTCCATCCTGTTCTAGAAGGTACCTGACAAGGTCTGGAAAAGTAGTACCAACCATACTATCTCTTTTAATGCTGATTTCAACTTCATCTGCTACGTGGAGTATAGGCTCTGGAAAGGAACTCTGCTTACTTGCAATATTTCTGAGTACTTTTTTGTTAGAATGGCAATCATTAAGCATTTTGTCATTACCATTTAGCTGTTTCTGGGATGGTTAGGATGGACGGCAGAACTCATGATTTTAGTATATTTATTTTCTATGGTTGCTAATCATTAATATTACTGAAATGTTTAAGTTGATTAAAGCAAAAATATTTTAACTGTTTCCCAATAACTAATTATGAAAGTTTGAAGTTTGTTCTTTCATCATTTATTTCTAAAGCTTTATCTAGCTCTATCATAATGTCTATACTGTCTACTCAACACAATTATATGCAATTTCTCACTAACAATGAATAAAATATTCATTAAACCACAAACACTCTAAAGCATTATTCATCTAAGAATAACATTATAAAAGTAATATTTTTATTGAATTTTCAGTAAGAAGAAAATACCAATTATTTTTTTCACTATATTTCAGGGGACATCATACCACCGGAAAACTTTAAAAAGTACGAACCTGGTTTCAGGCCCTTACCATCTCCACCACCATCACCTCCACCTTTTCATAAAACTGACCTGTTTGGCCAGCCATACACACCTCGCTCCAGCCCAAGAACTTGGAAACTCAGTTATAAACTGAATCACCCGGAATATCAAAAACTCAGAGGGGAAGTTAAGAAACAAAAAGAAACAATGGAGAAAAAATGGCTTGAGACTAGTAAAGTTCCTCAGTTAAAGTTATCTCCTGTTAGAGATGAGGTATAAACTAATTAGTTCAGTTTTGTTGAATCCCATCTCTGTTAATAAGAGTGATAAAAAGCTTATACAGCAGGTAAAATATTATTGAAAACATCTTTATTTTTCCAATTTAAGCTACATTTCTTTAGCTGGAAAATGTTATCTCCCCTTTTTTAATATGCAGGATTGTTAAATCACCATCAATAACAATTAGAAAGATGGAAAGATTGAATGAAAACTACTGTTTTAACCTTATATCCTTGATGGGATGTTGGGTCACATTGTCGAGTTTTTCATTACAAGCTTGAAGGTCTCAAGTTCAAATCTTTAGGACATCCCTGAGCACACACAACTCTGGTGGGTACCTGACTCTCTTTAAGGAAAGGTGGCTGGGCATAGTGCTGACCACATTTTCCATTCATATGCCAAGGTCAAGAAACATGAACTCTACTTCATCTACCATATGAATCTTTAGATTTGAAAGGGGAGCTTTACTTCATACTTCTTTGACTGAGAGTGTAAACTCCACCTTTTTAAATGCGCAGGCTTGTTTAACAGGTTGCATGAAATATTCATATTCTATTGCTCAAAAAATATTTTAAAATTCAACTGTTTCTGAAATGTTTGTAATCATATATATCCTTGTGTTAAATTGCATTTACAAATCTGTTATGTAACCTTTAAAACAGATGGGTAAGTCTAGTATGTCATGTTTATTATTCAGTATTAAGCTTGAAATTGTTGAAGTAAAGTTTGTTGAATATTTATATAGATGCTTATGTATATTAAGCATTTATATACTCATATAAATGTTTATGAGAATGAAAATATGTATAAAAGATTAAATACTTCTACAGCAGTTTTTTTTTTATATTAACAAGTGCCTTTTATCAAAATATCTGGTGCCTTAATATTTTTGGTTGTAAAAAATAAGTTGTTTTCTACATTATATTATAAGATTGGTGTATGTAATTTTGCTGTTAATTGTCCTCCATGTACATATTATTCTATTTTAGTAATAAAACAAAAGGCAAACATGTATTCTTTGGTCTGGTTGAGGTGTTAAATGCATCATTGATAAAAAAAACATTATTAAACTCACTACATAGTACAATAATAATCTGTGTACAGCGGTTTAAATAAAAAGTTTTCAAAGCAATATTTTGTAGGTCATTTTATTTTACAAACTTGATATCTTGCTTGTAAAAGAGCATTAAAGAGCATTAAAATAAAACATGCTTCTTCAGTGCAACCAAAGCAGGTGGTCTATATTTTCTTTTAGTGGTGTTAATTGCATTCAAAACTTTATTTACTCAGTTTTATAATTTATATTTATTCAATATTTGTAGGCTTATTACACAACAGAAGACTTAAAACTTACATTACTCTCCACAGGCAAAATATTTTATTCCAGTTTTTTGCAGACAGAAATTATAAAAAAGATATCAACAAAATGGATGCAGTATACTAAATAATTTTTGCACATTGTTTGTTGCTACAATAAAGACAATTTTCTGATTGTTCATTTACAATGCTTAAAAACATGAAATACTTATACTAGAAATTAAAGGGGGAATGTCATATGCCTGTTTAGAGAAATAGTTTATTTACATAAGATATCAACAATTAATTTTGTTTATTTATGCACATAGAAAACAAATAAGTTGAAGTTTTTTTTTATTTAGCAGTACAAAATATTCATAATGGTGGCAAATGGAATCCAATTACTTGAAGAAAACAAAAGCAATAACAAAAGTAAATAGCTTAAAAAAAGGTTTTATAGTTTGTTATAAAACAATTTCCTTAACTTTGTGGTTTTTCTTAATTAATGTTATGTTAATATCTGTTGTATCATATAATCAAAATATTTTCCTTCTATATCCTCATTTGTGTTCTCTCACTCAAAAATAAAGCAGAAGGAGAAACCAACTAGCAGTAAGAAATCAACCTATCACACAGTGATAAACAATTTTTAGTCACATTTTTCAGATTATTATTTTTATAATCATATTTATAATAACAAATATCACCATTCATACCTTTGAGCAAATCTAACCCTATAAAAAAAACAGCATTGAAAACAAATATAGATATTTTTAGCTTACCTTACAAAACCTCTGAGCAAATATCAAATGGGTCCTAACGTAACCAAAAAGTTATTTATAAAATAAACTTTTTATCATTTAATGTTACAACAAGTAGGTTTTCTTTTCGTTATAAATCAGATTTTAAAATATTTAAACCTGTACAAAATTTCAGTTTCTTTTAAACTTTGAGAGATAAGTAAAATTTAAAACTAGCACAAGCTGTCTTTTGTTAATCAACGTTTACAAAGTATACACAGGAGAAATTAATAATTTACAGAATAAACATGTTCACAATCAAATGTAGTGTCTTATCCCACAATATCACAAAATAGAAGTGCTCATTTTTATATATGTCACCTTAAAAAAAAAATCTAATATATGAAATGTAAATTCTAGTACTTATCAAAATTTGTCAAAAATTCAATACCTGTCTTAGCAACATGTATGGAGAATAACTGTACTTAATGCATAACCAAGGCTCTTAATATAAACCAATATAAAAAAATATAATAAACTCATTATTCAACAGGAATTAATCAAAACTTAATGATTTTGTCACTGATGTACATACATTTAAATTTTTACTTGCACAAAACAAATATCTGAAGCATACTTTTATGAAATACATTTTATAAATATTATTTGTACTTTGCTGATTTGAAGGACGTAATTACTTCATAATTAATAATATTCATGGATTTATTATTACTTAAACATACATACAGCATAACCTCCAAAAATTATTGTTTACCATTTTTAGCTTAATTTTTCTTAATCCAATTAAATTCTCTTAAAAGATTGTTCCAAGAAATTAGTGCCTAAAATATATTTAAGTTTTCAAGGAAACCACAATAATAATGGTGACAATTACTGCAATAACCAGGAATATCACAACTAAACAGCACATCTTCTTTCTAGATTTCCTCTGGGAAAGAAAAAAACTTGGCGTCAGTTTTAACAATGCTTTCTTATTTAAGTATCTATATATATATAATTCTCTTCATGGGGACCATACAAGACACCTCGCAGGCATATCGCTACCACCCCCATCCCCACCTGTCAGGTGAGCTGTGGTTCACCCCGAATATTTACAACAAGCCAGCCCGCGGCATATCATACGTAGCTATTTAGTTGTTGTTTTTTCTACTTATCAGTAATTCATAATTTATGAATTCGACGGTACCAACGCTGCCACTGAAAATATTTCTTTAAAACTCTATAAGTAGCTCGTTAAGGACGATAACCCCCCTCCTCCCCCCCCCCTCCGTTAAAGTAAACTCCACTTAGTTACCCCCCCCCCCCCCCCATACGTTTGAAATAGTTTCAAACTGAATTATCTGCCCCTAATAATCGTCACTAAACCCGGCTCTGCTTGTAAACATTTAGCGTGAACTACAGCTCACCAGACCATGTAGGGGTGGGGGGGGGGGGGGGTAGGGAGCGCACTTACAGCTTGTTTTCAAGCATCTCCCAGAAGAGAATTATATAAATATAGATAGAAGTGACGGCTACTAGAGGCAGATAAATCAGTTTTTTAACAATTTGAGACTTAGGGGAGGTAATTATAAGTTATGCTTGATTTTTTAATTTTCTTCTGTAAACTGTCGTCACGGACGGGCTGCTTTCAAGAGGGGGTGGAGAGGGAGGGGATGATAATCGTCCTTAACAAGATACTGGTAGCATTTTAAAGCAAAATATTTTCAGTCGCAGCATTAGTAGTGTCGAATTCACAAAATATGAATTACTGAAAATAGGAATTAAACTAAATAGCGGTGTATACTACATCACTGGTCAGCTCGTGGGATAAAAGCAACAAATTATTTTCCTAAAAAATATTAATCTAACATTGGTCACTACTTTTACCTGATACTCGGCAGCCTTTATAAGTTGCTCCTGGCCTGATTCTACATTTGTAAAGGCCCTTTCTACATTGCTATCAATTGTATCTGTATGAAAAAAAATTATAATGAAGAGTTAAAATTGAATAAAAATAAATTTCAGCTTTTTTTTTTCTGTAGTTTAGAATTTGACTGTTGATTTAACTGACTAGGTGACACAATTTAAAAAGCATTTTTGAGTATTTAGATTTTTTTAAAAAAACCTACCTATTACTTCTCCTTGTGTGTGTATAAGTGCACCTAATTCACGAAAAATTTCATTTACATCTAAAATGTCAGCCTGAAACACAATGTGATAAGATTTCATTAGGTAAGAATGTATTCATTAGTATCGGGTGCACTTAAGTACTTTAATCAAACACCAAACTGAAATTGACTGACTCATGGACATATAAAATTGATCAAAAATAGAAATAGTGCTAGTATTCCCCCAAACCCAAAGGTTTATAAAAAAAAATGCCGTTTCAGACCTAAATAACTATATGGGACATGAGGTGGAGCTCATATGTCTCCTGACCTCAGCATATGATGGGATGATGTGGTCAGCACTATGCAAAGTCACATTTACGTTCCCTAAAGTAAGTCAGGCGTTCATCAGAGCTGGGTGGACTCTGGGATACCCTTCAGTCCAGACAGAGATCCAAACTCTATGCTTTTGGGCAAGAAACCGACAGTTTGTAGAAAAAACAGCTTGGTGCTAAGATCCACCCCTCAAATACAGGCATTGTCAACCCTATTAACAGATGTCAAAACTTCCTTTAAATAGAGTCATGTACCTATCAAAGTTAAGTGAGATGTCATAATGGCAAGAACATGAGGTGCAAACTTCAGAACTCTGGGTTAACAACTGTGCACTCTACCACACTTATTACTGTACACTAAAAGTCAGTATTCGACTAAAAAGAGTAAAGTTCTCATTCAAACCTGATGGTCTATGGGGCAAGTGAAGTAAACTTCACTTATTTCTCTGACCTAGGCATATGAAGGGATAGTGTGGTCAGCACTATGCCCAGCCGCCTTTACTTTCCCTAACGTGAGTTAGGTACCCCATTAGAGTTGGGTGGACTCAGGGATGGTGTACTGACTTGAACCTGGATTCGAACTCGAGACTTACAGTCTAGCAGTCCAGCTCTCTACAGCTAGACTGCTACGTCCCATTTGATAATACAAATCTAATTTTATTCTACCTTACTCTCTACATGTATAAAATCAGTATTTTTAAAAAAAAATAGTAAGAAACCTCTAATTGGTGAATTCTTTCTTCTCTTTCACGAATGACGGCCAAGTCATCCTCAATGACCACTTCCTGTTCTTTTAGAATTTGTGTTCTTCTTTGTTGTTCTTCGGCTGCTGATACTTTCTGGTCATCACCATAGTCCTAAAATAGAAGAATGAGTGTTCAATCATCAATCATAGTGTCAACATTACCTAATCATGTATTTTGAATAGCACATATTTTTTCATTTTATCTCATGGAATAAAATATTTAATTAGAAAATATACACATTTTAAAAGATATATAACACTCAAGATGCCATATAAGATTAACCAAATACCATATTAAGAAAGCTTTTATTTCCTTAGGCTTGGTTGTCTGGAGAATGGGTTTGATGAGGGGGAAGGGGAGATAATGACTTTGAAGGGGGCTTACTTTGACAGTTGTCACACAATGCAAGTGTAGTACATGCACATCAAATTAGTGCTTACTTAGCTAATGCTATATGGAAACTATTTTTTTTTTAACACTGTTGATCATCCTTATTCCTGTGATCGAAAACTTTAAGGCTTGTTCTGATGTTTCAACTAAAATCTTTCAAAATCTATAGGCACATATAACTAAATAATAACAATATTTTGATTGCTACAAGATTTTAAACTATTTTAATATTTTTGTAAAAGCAAAGTCACTTTAGTGTAAAATTTAAACAGTTTTAAAGAAATCCAAACAAAAACATTTCACTTTATTATTGTATAGAATGACTTTAAAAAAAATTTTATTTCTGTAAAAACAAAAAGTAAAATCCCTATTTTAAAGCTTTTTCAAAAATAACAATATATTAAGTTCTAAAAAACAAAAATTTAACTGTTAAATAAATGTGTCAATAAAACAACACAAAAAGTACTCACTCCAAAGTCAACCAGCTTTGGCTGTGTGTGTCCTCCAAGTTTTACAGATGTCTTCACTTTTGCGGCTGCTGTCTGTGAAAATTTTAAGTATTAATTACATTTTTTTTCACAGTATTTGATTTATATTTCTTAAATGATAATATAAAATATTAATCACAACTTTTGCCACTGCAGATCACATATTTAATTTACATTTATTAGGTGATAATATCAGATATTAGTTGAAGCTTCACCATATTTTATTTACAAAATTTTTTAGTAAAAATAAAAGTTACAGATTCGCAGTATTTGATTTAAATTACTTATGTAAAAATTTAAAATATTAGTTACAGTTTCACTTGATTTAAACTATTTAAAAAATTATGTGGAAATATCAAATATTAGTTACAGAGAAAATTTTAAGTTTGTTTAAAAATACCTAATTTCTAGGTCTTATTAAAAAACTAAAAAAAAACTAGAATGCATTTTTAGCATTAATTATAAGTCACAAAGATCTGATTATATAGTTTAAATGTAATAAATTACTACATAGGATCATTATTCAAAAGTATAGCATTGATTTAATCATTAATGTTACAATACCTTCTGTAATGATTGGAACCTTTGCACTGCATCTTGGAAATTACTTTTGAGCAAATCCAACTTGATTTTTTTATCCTGTTCAGGAAATAAATAAAATTAAAGCTATTTTCACAACTACAGTACAATTTTATATATTAAAATAATTATTACATAAAAGATAACAATTGAAATACATTAGGTGAAAATGCTCAGGATGGATTTATAGAGAAGAGAAAAATAAAACAACCTAATTTATCTCTAACGCAATTAGAGACTTTGCATGCTAATACATGACTTCATACTTATAAACTTACAAATTTAAAATGGTATGTGAAGGGAATGCTGATAAAAATATATAAAATTTTGAACAGATTGACCATGTTTTATGTACAGCCCAAAATAAAAAAATGGACATTCCATGCATTATTTTTAACTAAGTTTTATTGAATTCTGCAGAAAGACAACTAACAAAAGCAGGGCTATCTAAGGGAACTTCTAAAAGAATTGCCAGAGACTGGCTAAAGTGGAATGAGCTTTTTGTGGAAGCCCTGTGTCTACTGCGCACAAAAGGGAAAAGATGATGTGAAGTTGATATTAAATTTTAATATACATCTACAATTAAATTAAATGTTTGTTTTATCGACAAACTTTTCTACACTAAAAGACATGTGTAATGGGTGGCCCAGTGGTAAAAAGTGAATGGAACAACCTTATCAGCTTTCTTTCCTGCTGCAGTCTGAAGGAGCTTTGTTGTAGACTTGACAATTTTATTTGTTGCTTGTGAAGTCTCATGGCTGCAAAAAAAAAGAAAAAAATTGTCATTTACCAGATCAGTTAGTGGTAGAGCGCTAGATAAGGCTGCTAACTCAGAAGTCTTGAGCTAGAATTTAAGTCAGTAGAATGTCCCTGAGTCCACCCAGTAATGATGGGTACTTGACTCTAGTAAAGGCATTGCTTATGTTAGGGAAAGGCAGTTGGGCATAGTGCTGACCACACCACCCTTTCATATGCAGAGGTCAAGAAACATGAACTCTTCTTCCTCTGCCCAATGGATTGCTAGGTCTAGTGAGGAACCTTTACTTACTTTTACATACTTGAAAAGCATAAAAATATTTTGGTTGCAAATGTGAATGTAAAAACATAATCTATATATATCATTCTCTTCTGGGATCAGTTAGAAAACAAGCTGCATGCGCGCCTTTGCAGTCCCCTCTCTTCCTCTCTATCACTATCACTACCACCCCCACCCCACCCCCACATGATCTGGTGAGCGGTGTTCACTCTGTTTACATTTTACAATCATAGAGACGGGTTTGGTGACGGCTATTAGGGGCAGATAATTTAGTTTGAAACGATTTTAAACTTAGAGGAGGTAACTAAGAGGAGGCTGCTTTCACGTGGGGGGTGGTTAGTGTTTTTAAGCAAATATTTTCAATGGCAGCATTGGTACTGTCGAATTCACAAATTATAAATTACTGAAAAGTAGAAAAAAAAACAACTAAATAGCGGCGTATGATACGCAGCGGGTCAGCTCGTGTAATTTTATTATTCAATAGTGAAATTTAAAGCAACTGTTTTAAATGTATAAAAAAATGTATCACAGTGATAATGTTGTGGTTTAAGAAAAAACTCACATTTTATCTCTGAGTTGTTCAGTGTCCCTATCAGTGCCTATCATTTTCATGGCACGCTCCACTGCATTCGCTGTAAAAAAAAATAAAATGAGATAAAGATGAACATAATTTTTAATGATAATATTTTTGTTCCGCTTCCTATTCAAGGAAGTAAATTACAACTAAATATATAATGAGATTGCTGAAATTTGAGTTATTTTATTTTAATTTTTTTAAATAAGCTGCAATTGAATTTTTTTAAAACCTGTAATTGCTAATTAATTGATTGAACTAATTAAAATAAAATGAGGTGTTGCCTGATTTTTCTAAATGATTCAGTTTGAAATGCATAAATTAAAGAATTAGCCAATTATCTTAAATTTAGCTAATTAAATCAAATTTCATAATTTTTACTGCACACAGCATACCTTGCTCAATCTTATGTGTTTATGTGTACATCAGATATACATTAAAATTATAAATAACTTACAAAAAATTATAAGGGCTCAAATAATTACACTAGTTCATACCTCCATTATTTACTTTATAGATATTGCTACTGATCTGTTCTATGAGATCTGAAACAGAAGTCATATTGTCTCTGTACTCTCTCTCGTCAGGGTCATCCCGATATTCTCTTAAAGTTCCGTAATTGGACATTTCCTAACTGTATTGTTTCCACAAGTTATATTTGTATTTTAAATCTGCAGAGGGAAACAAAATAGCATACTTTAAGCAATAACATATATTGAAATGGTGATTTTTTGGTATAGTTTTACACCTTAAAAAGAAATCCCTACTTGAGCTGGAGACCTAAATTCAGTGCTCATAAAAAACTAATGGAAGCTACTATCTAAAATGTAACCCCCGCCCTATTCTTAACAAAACACAGGCAGAAAAAAAAATATTACATGGTTAAGTGTATGTATTATCCTCCTGATGTTTATATAATAACATAAATTTTAATACTTCTAAAAAGAGATATTTGGTCTTCAATTAGGGCAAAAGCCACCTTTACTCACTCTAACCCAAGTAAAGTGACTCCCCAAGTGAGTATTATAATTATAAGCTATGAATGGATTCTAGTTTTTAATAAGTGGAAAGTTTGCAGCATGTAGCTGTTACACTTTTTTGTTCTTAAACTTGAAGTTTCTATATTGAATATTGGAGGATCATACAACTAGACCAATTTTCTTTGAATGGTGTGTTTTGATGTCAGAGCCTAGACCGCATCTATAGTCAAGCAATCTTGAAAAACATGTTCAATATTTTCCAGGGCCATACCGCAAAGGCCTGTATCGCTGACACCAACTTTATTTTGCAAAACATTATTAGGCTATAGATCTATATATATTAAATATCAACCTGATCTTCTACTTCCTAGATCTAGCAGCTTAGTTAATAGTTAGTTATTAGTTAGGAGTCATCCATAAATGACGACACTCGTAGGGGGATGGGGAGTCCATAATTTTGTGACGGTGTGTGATGAGGGGGAGGTTCAGATGGTGCGACATCACACTTTTGCATTATAAAAAAGCAATGTTAGAAAACGAATTTTAGATGTTACTTCGCATTTTAAAAAACTGTTTTAATAAACTGCAATAGGAATTGATTAAAATACTCTATTTTGACAGAGTTCAGACACGATTTTGGAAAAAAAGTGATGTTTAAAAAAAAAATGGTAAACTGCAATTTTGAGGGGGGGGGGGGGGGGGGTTATGGGCAGATGTGACATCATTTTAGGGGGGTGGTCTGGCTTTTTGTGATGATGTGTGATGGTAGACGGTGGGGAGGGGGAGGTAAAAATCATCAAATAAAGTGTGTCATTTGGATGACCCCTTACTACTAGTAAGTTACTAGATCTAGAATAGATTATTATATTATAGTGTATTAATATAGTATTATAGTATTATTTATAGAGCGAAAATCTAGGTAGATCTATAATATTATAAAACTAGATCTAGATCTAGATCTAGAAGTCAAATGAGTTAAGATTATAAGATTGACTTGAAGTGGTCTTGAAGATTCACTGACACTAGAATTGTAGAATAGATAGATCTATCTACTATCTAGACTCTACTAGAACTCTAGACTAGTTAGTAAGTTAGTAGTACAAACTAGTAGACTAGAATACTGATTGTTGAATGTAGTATGACTATGTAGTATGTAAAGTAGTATGTAGACGTCTATGTACTAGAATCTAGTATGTAGATTTAGATCTAGATCTAGTACTAACTATGTTATGTAGAGTAGAGTAGGCCAAGTACTCAGCCCAGTGCAGTGGAGTAGAGTAGGCCTACTTCAAGCATCACAAAAAACAGTTGGCAAGAGGTAATTCAATACTATTATAAATTATTACGACTGAAAATTTTATATCTAGATTCTACATCTAATAGATTCTAATACCCTTTCCTTTGAGTGAGTTAGGCCACTAACAAATTAATATTTACCCTTCTAGTTAACACATTTCCGAAGACTTTCTTATTTCTACTCATTTGTTTTTTTATGTTGTGGTCATGTGACAATGCTCTGTAATCAACTCAACCATCCCGAAAAAGCTTTAGTTAGACGGCCTACCCAGATTGATAAACGTTAAATATATTAAATAAGCCTAATCAAATAACTGAAAATAAGACGATCACAGTAATTTAGCATATTGATTTCTATAAATATTTTCTGTTAAGAATAAAAACCTAAAAAAAAATAGAAACTAAAGACAAAATTCATTCACCCATCACAATGGTTGCGTTTTATAGTGGGCGTTTATCTGAAAGGAAAAAAAAAATGACTAGGCCTATCTATATTTAGCCAAAATCAACGCAACTTTTCGTGGAAATACGTAAAGAAAATAAACAAACGTTGACATTCATCAGCTGCAGATCTCTAGATCTAGTAAGTTTCTTCATATTATTAAACAGTAAACATCCCCACCATAGTCGGTTATAGTTCTAATAACTAAGTTCACTATGTAAATTAAATTGTTCATAAATATAATAATAATATTCACAAGGAAGGGGGTGGGGTGGTAGCCAATATAATATAATGTTAAAACAGTTAAAATGATATTCTGTTTATAATTATTGGAGTTAAGTCAATAAGTTGACAGAAATGCTTTCACATTATTTCCCTTAAACACTATGTAAAGCGATGCAGCTGTCTGTCATGTAATTATCCATTTCCATTAGAAAACCTAAATTGAACTAATTATTTTGAAAATCTAATTTTTTTTTTATCAAATTGTGCATTGCCTATACTACACTAGTACTGCTGTGATGAGTTTGTATAGAGAAGAGGAAATTTGATGTATAATGAAGTAAGTCTGGCAGATCCAATTTGTGATACAACTTAGTATGATCCACTACATTACACATGCTACAACTACAAACACATTTTGAAACATTGCAAAATGTACAACACTGAAAATAATATTTTTTGAAAGTATTTTTCAAAAGGAAAATAAAAAACATTTTATTTAAATATATTGTTTTATTCTATCTCTCTTATCATTGTACATGTGTATACAATATATACATTATACGGCCTTGAGGCCAATGTATAACTCCATTGAAACACTCAATTATTCTTTATTTTGCTATTAATAGAACACAACTTTGAAACACACGTAGATGTAAAGGTTCTGACTAAAGTTAAATACTTTGTTTCATGTTATTGACATCACAGATACTAATAAAACACAATAATCGCATGCAGACATTTCATTACATTATCCTGGTATATTTTTCAACTATCTCAAGTAGATAGGTGCAAAATGGGAAATTAAAAAAAAAAATCTCTTTAATGTTAAAATTAATTATTCAATCTTTGATTGTCTTATTTATATAGCATAATGAGGGGAAGCATAGTAAAAATAAGACAAAATAAATCCTGAAAGCAAATGAGATTGCAAAACAAAAAAATCACAAGGATTAATAATTTATGCATACTGAATTTCAAAGTTCATACTTCTAAAACATGTGATTAAAACTTGCATAACAAGTTTTAATTAAGAAAATATAGCAACAGAATAGCTTAGGCCACATCCATTCAAAATGTAGTTTAAAATGGGGTTATAATATTGATACAAGTCATATTTTCACAGCATCCATCTGCTGGCCAGGTAACAACACAGAAGTATCTGGATATATGTTGAATAGCAAAATGTAAATGTTTATATATGTATATCAAACAAATGGTAAATTCTTCAATCCAAAATTTGGATGACAAATCCAACTAAAGGTAATGTTTTTTTCTTTATGGTTAGGCATGTAATGTTTAAAACTCGCTAACAAATTTGATGTTAAAGACAACAGCAAGGGAGAGCACTTTTAAAAAGTTGGTCAGCATCAACACTTTTCTCGCATTCTTCTCACAAACTAAAAACTCGCACTAAAATACTGAGTTTCTTATATGAACTTGAAAGATATTTTTTGCCTTCATAATACATTTTTAAACCAACCATAAAAGCTAACTTTTTTTTTAAAGAAGCCAGCTCATTCATTTTATACAACATCCACTAATGCATTTTATTTATGTTTATCATCAAGAACATGGATTATAACAATAAACCCTCTAATCACAACTTTGTTGTAAAACATTGGACACAAGATCCACATACATTACAGATGTATTAATAAATACTGATGTTGGTTCATACCCACTTTATATGAAGAGTAGATAATTTTATTTAAACAAAAATGGTAAAAAAGAAAATCTGAAATCCCTCTAATATAAGATGTCAACCCATTTCAGAAATGTAAAATAATAATTTGTAAAATAAAATTTTGCAAATGTTTGAAAGATTACAAATTTGCCTCAACAAAAAATGTTAGTATATTACTAATTTAACCTGCTTCATTAAGATGTTTACACAAGGTTTTCTAGCTTTTTGTTATACAAGGTTTTCTAGCTAGGATTCAACATGTTATTTGGTGTCATCTGATGAGTTGATTGGGTTATCCGCCTTAAACTGAATGCCTGCCTCTTCTTCATCATCATAAAGATGTGTGTCGTCATCATCCTCCACATCACTAACCTGAGGGGTTGATGCCCGGGTTGATGATGGGGAGGGGGGTGCTGAGGCCGGTTTCATCATCTTAAAATCTTTCTTTTCCTAAAAAGTAAACAGAAGACAGCATGGGTTAACACCATTGAATAATATCACACAGGTAACTCTACAAAATTACAAATGCTTTAAATCTAAAGTAGCAAAGAATGTATCAATAAACCAAAGGGAATGATGCTATGAAGTCACATTTTTTTAAACAGAATTACTTTAAAAACACCCCATAAGCTGACTGCACTTACAATACAGGCTATCCAAAATTAAACGGTTATAATCTTAACTGTCACTGTTACTTGATATTTTACACTTTTCCTAGTGTATATGTTTAAAATAAGCAGATCTGAAAACCAGATCTCATCTAAAACAACAAATATGTAGTTTAGTTTATAGCAATAAACAAAAAAAAGTGACCAACCGAAGCTGAATCCTCTCCTGCCCTGTCGCCGAACACTTTAGTCAGAGCCTGATTTCTTGCTTTACGGTAGTACTAGATTTTGAAAAAAAAACAAGGAGAGACTATGTAACCATAACACTTATATATACATTACATGTTTACATAATTAATTAGTTACAAATGCAACTAAATGTCAATAACATTTTCAGAATGAGCTTTAGTTTTAAGGTTATTAATTTACAAAGTATACATGTCACACAAACTGTTAGTTTAAAAAGTTTTAAAGATTTAAAAAAAAAATAAACTGAAGAAATGTGTATAAAAATGAGACAGCATGGTCATGTAGTTGAGAACTCAACTATTAACCCAAAAGTCAACAGTTCGAATTTCAGACTCAAGTCTGTAGGGTGACGCTAAGTCAATCCAACTGTAATAAGTACCTGACTCACATTAGGGAAAGTAAAGGCGTTGAGCACGTGCTGACCTCACCATTCCTTTATATGCAGTGGTCAAGGAACAGAGGAACTCTACTTCATCTACACTATGGATCATCAGGTCTAAAAGGGAAACTTCACTTTTAATGTGTATAAGAACAAAAATCATACCACGCCTAGATTTCTCCAATCCAGCATTTCACTTAGCCTCTCTGTTCTGTTTCTTTGAATAATTCTCTGACGTCTTGATAAGCAGGCAAAGTCAAACATGTACTGTGAAAATGGCAATTTTAAATCAATGAAATGCTATACACCTATAATCACACACAAGAGCAGTTAGTAATAGGCAGCTTTCTGGTAACATGCTAACATTCACATAAGTACATTGTAACAAAAAAAAAATACTGAAACTCTTCATATTTGTTGTAAATTTTAAAAATATTAGACATGAAATTTAAAATTCTTATGCATCAAAAGACAGATGATCAAACAGGATTGTATATAAAAAATAATTTTTGGGAACGCTAAATTCAAAATGAGAAACATAGTAAGTATTACTTGTTAATAGTACAAGAAGGAAAAATAGACCATGTAATTTGGTTTTATGTATTAGACATCTACACAGCCACTAAATTTCCACCATTACAAGTTGTAGTTGGGAAAAGTGGCTTGATATTATTGCTGGCAAGATAATTTTATTTGTATTTTGCAGTCATAGAATCAAAGACATTTACTTTTCAAATAAATAAGAGATCATTTATTTCCAAAAACTTCCTCCTAAATTTTTTAACATTTATTTACCTGCGCTAACTCCCTGACAGAATCTTCTGCGCTTTTAAATCTTCTATCAACAATGTAAATGCCATATGATTTGGGATCCACTATATGATCTTGCATAAAACAACCAAAGCCAGATAAATTGGTTGTAATGCTTGGAATTCCCATCACCGTGCATTCAGCTAATTTGAAAATATTTCAATAATAAATTTTGAATTAAATAGTTGAAACACTAAAAGTACAATCTAATAACAATTTAAAATAATAAATCTATTTGATAAATAATAGTGCAACAAATCTTTTTAAAAATATTTGGCTTTTAAAAATGATATTTTTACAAAATATTTAATGATAATTCTTCTTCTAATCAACTAAATAAAATATAGATCAGCACAAAGCAAGGACAGCGTTTTAAAACAAAAATTGCGAGCATTCCTATTGTTTATAAACACTTTGCTTACCTGGGGTATATCCCCAAGGCTCATAGTAGCTCGGGAACACACCTAGATGGCAACCTCTTACAAAATCTTCATAATCAAGAGCAAAAAGTGGATTGGTAGAGTTCAGAAATTCTGGGTGAAACACAATCTAGAAATGAAAAAGGTTACAAATAAAAAAAATGTTTAAATGAAAAATTATTCAAGTAAACCTCGCTCGTGTGTTTGCTTCATAACTTTTAGAATTTTTTTTTAAATTAATAAAAATGCATAGAATCTACAGACTATGGAAATCTGTTCAGTTTAAGATAAATGTGAAAATGCAGTGGTCTAGAGAACAGATGACTATGATATAGAGATACTCACTTTAACCCTGTCATGACGATTATTGAAAAGACTACATCTTCTGATTTGGTTTAGTACTTGGTCATTTGAATCATCCACAACATTGTGAGTACATATAGGAGGTAGACTATTTCTCTAAAATAGAAAGGAAAACACTAGTATAAATACTCAACCAGCAAAAGTGAGTTTATGTGTGGATAATTATGAATTTTCATGTAAGTTAAGAATGCTTGACTGAAACATGGGTAAAACAACAGTGAAGCATATACATTTACCTGAGCAGCATATATACATCTTTTCAGTTTTACTATATCCTCCTGTACCAGAATATCATCACCAGTTGGAAGACTTCCTCTGTAAAAAAAAAAAAGATTTAATTATTTAAGACTAAAACTCAGATTTACATTTAAATCACACTAAAAAAAATTTTTTTAATTTAATAATTTTTCTTTTAAATACAAGACTGACCTTAAACAAATATCAAAAAGTCTTCGACCAATTTGATTTTGTACATTATTGACAGTGTCCTTGAGCTGCTTAGCAATGGCCTGACCCCTGAGCGATTCCACATTGAAGTTGTTTGTTCTTGCAGGGAAGATTAGGAATGCCACAATAGTCACATCACTATTACAGGACTGCAAGAAAAACAATCACTATGGCAGAAAAATAATAAGAATGAAAAAACTAATCATTGTCACAAGACAGCAAGAAAAAAAAATAAGTAAGGAAAGTAATTACTGACAAAACTGCAAGCTAAAAAATAATATTTTAAAATTCAATTTATATAGTAATGCAGTAATTCTCACTGAATATATCCATTACAATGAAAAGTACAGCTGGTAGAGGCTAAGCCTCTATTAAACCTCATCTTCTATGTTTAACACAAAAAAGACCATAACTTTTTAGAAATATGGCAAATAAACTATGAAAAAGGAGCGGCTGGGACGAGTGCTAAGTTGCTAACCCAAAAGTCTCAGGTATGGATCCTGGGCACGAGTCTGTAGGATGTCCCTGAGTCCTCCCAGCTCTGATGGGTAACTGACTCGGGTTAGGGAAACAACCACACAATGACCACACTATCCCCATGTATGCCAAGGTTATTAAAACAGATGAACTTTATCTGCCTTTGGGTCTTTGGCATAAATGGGGGGACGGGGGGGACGGGACGGACACACGACACTAAGAACTACAAAAAAATATTAATATTTCCTTAAAGTGTAACATACTTTGAGGTAATAGTTAAGCCTTGCTAAGGACTCTATAAACATGTCAGCTCCTTTGTTGGAATATTCATAGCGCCCTGCAGTAAACAGGTACAGGGTTTTGTCTAAATCAAAGTCATAGTGTCTGAAAAAGAAGGAACAAAACATTTGGTGAATGGAAAGATCAGAGTAAATTATTGATAATTGAGTATAAATGTAGAATTAAGTTTTGTCTTAATAATATCTTTAAAGTAATTTTTGGTAGTAAAACAAGTATCTGAAAAGTTTCATTATATATTTATATCAATAGTAAATTTTAATTAATACTACTTTTAAACATAATGATTTACTGGACATTTTAAGTTACTTCCTAATTTAAATATTAAATTATAATATATTAATTTTTTTTTAATCAAGCAAAGTTCTTTACCCATAAAAATGTCCCCTAACAAAGTCATTAATTTTTTCTTTATTGATGGCATGTAAGTTTTGAAATTCATGTAAAGCACTGAATTTAACAACATTTAAGCCATTTGGTGTGATTACATCTGAAATGTAAATCATACAACATTTAGCAAACAATTTACATCATTACTAATGTTTGGCTCATGTATGTAAATGTATTTTCATTTTCAGTTGTTTTTTTACTTTGTAATAATTTTACAAACAAAGCATATAAAATTTATTACCATAAAAATGGAAAAAAAAAAACAACATGCTAACTCTTCAACCCTCCACCCTCTATCATCACCCAAATAACAGCAACTATTAATAAAATCTTAATGTGTTAAATATTGTACTTCATAAAGGTAAACAACTCAAATTCCTCCACCACCACATAAGCATACAATCAATGAAGTCAGACCCCTCCCCACATCTCTATACAATTTATACATGCAGTAGTGTTTTAATTGTGTTACCAGGTTTTCTTTTCAGGAGGTGTTCAGCTTCTACACCTGTGATTTCAGAGACAGTGGTGAAAATATGAGCACAGTGAACTGCTGCTCTCTCCATGCAGTAACGATGATAAATCTGACGATCTCCAGCTTCTTTATCCAAGTTAAACTGAAAAATTAAACATAGCTTGCATTAAATATAATCTTATTTTGTTTTAGTTATAAAAGGAAAGCCATAATTTATTTTGTAATAAAATTCGTCGAGATTGAACACAAAATATACTAAACAGCACATTTAAAAAGTAGTAGACAGTTAAATAGCTAGTGTATTCAATTTAAATTATGTTTAAAAATGTAATTATTAGAATATTGATTTATAACTTCTGTTTCCTTTAGCTATTCAGCTATTTAATGTAAACATGGGCTCAAGCTACTATTATTTCAAAATAGTTGTGCATATCATGTTACACATTTTCTATTAAATTTAATAAGACAAATTGAAAGACAGTTATACTGTCTGTTTGTAATGCTGCTCAATAAGGCTGTTAGATTACAACATTAAATTTTGCCAGCTTTATGAAAGTATTTTACTATTTATAAAAACAAGAACAAAATTATAATTTAAAATTTTTTAAACAAAACTAATTTTGAATAGTCTTATATAGGCTTGAGGGAGATAATATTTTAATCAAGTAAAAAGTACAGAATGTTTACCTTATCTAAATTATTGTAGAAATCTGCACTGCCAGCACATAAGTATCTACCTAAAAGGGTAGCATGAGTGGTAAAAATGAGGGATGCATTGATTTTACGAGTTCTTGTATATATAAGACCAGCTCCTGCTAGCCACTCATGAAAATGGGCTGTCACCATGGGATCACCATGAGTATTCTTAATAAACTGAAATGGATGAGAAAAAAAAGAAACATCAAATGTACAGAATAAAACACACTTACTTAGGCTAGAGCTACTTCATTATTAGTATGCTGTGGTAAGAATGGATGGCAGAGAAATGGAAAAATTAGAAAATATGTCTGCTAAATAGTACAACAGCTATGATAAATACATTTTTCAAAATACATTTAAGTATGTGCTCTTTTTTTTTAATTTCTCTAATGTATTATTTTCAAACAGAGAGTTTCTTGTACCTTTTAAAACAGGTGTTTTATCTGTGAATTTCCTACCACAGTACTAAATTATCAAAATTCATTTTTGCGAAATAAAAATTTAAACATTAATGCCTTACATCTCCTAAAAACCATGCAACTAGCGCCCCAAATATAACAGCATCGTTGGATTCCCTGTCATGCCAAGGGACGCCGATGTTAGCTGTCTCCCAAAGCTCGTGCTTGAACTCATCTAGTTTCCAGGCAGCTGAGCCGATATCAAACAGTACAACTTTGGGGTAGCCATCAATCAGCCAACGACCGAAATATACCTATAAAATAAATAGCGTCAAAGGATACACATTTTTTTTTTAAATATTCATTGCAATATTATTAACTAATAAAATAATGATTTACAAATAGCAAAAAATGAATCAATTTTAAAATTCTAGCAAAACCAATGTAGGTCAAAACTTATAATAAAGCTCACAATACCTTGATGCCAGCCTTTCTCATGTTTCCAATAGTTTCTCTGTAAACATGATGATGGGGTTCTAAAATTTCAACTTCCGTGCGAACACAGGATTCATTATAGGGCCCTATCAAACAGTACTGCTCTCCCCATTCTTCAACAGTCACAGGTGCTTTTGTTTTAATGACGGTGTAGATGCCGCCAACTGAAGAGAGATTAGTTGTTTTTTTTAATCATGTAAACTATTGTAGTCTTCAAAAGAAATGAGCCTAAAGAAAACAATTTATTTTGCAATTGTATCTGTATCCAGAAATTTGCTTTATGTACCTAGGTATAGGCTAATTACAATTAGATCTACTTACAAAGCCTCTCCTTAGAACTTGTGCAACAAAATGATCAAAGTTACACTTTTTATTTACTCAATATTTTAAAACGTAAAAATACTTAAATCAGTTAAAGATTAAACTTTAATCATTAAAGATTAAGAATGTCAATTGTCTTGTACTGTAAAGCAATAGAATTATGGTCATGGTATAAAATAAGTAGGCCTAGTAAAAGAATAACTTAAGTTTAAGACTCAGCATGCTTACCTATTGTAATAATTCACAATCTAATAGTAGTAACAATCTAGTATTCAGTTTAAGTAACGGACAGGGGATGGGGACGATGATTGAAGGTATTCTCTACAACTACAACTGTACACGCAAGCATCTCTCTTTAAAAACGATCTTGTTTAAGTACATTTTAGGCCTACTACTCTTGGTTGCACTAATTCTAGCTATCTATCTATTTAAATAATATAGAATTTAGATATAGATCTAATGTGTAATTTTATTTAAATCTAATACTAAATTAATACCGTCAAAAATTATATTTGCTGAGCGGACTAAAATACTAAAAACTAAAAACGGCGGTATAAGAATAGAAAACAAACGTATGTAAAAGTTTTAAACATATTGCATTCTCACCTTTATTTGCAACCTCCCATGCAATTTCAAACAACCATTTGTTTTGTGCAGTTGCAGAAGCACCTCTATCGAGCACTAAATCGTCTAAGTCAGGCTCGACATTCTTTAACGTTCGATAGAAGCTGTTTCTTCTCCTCTGCATCGCCATGTTTCAGTCTTGTCTGTCATTAGGTTAAGAGGTGAAGGTCATTGTTCCGCAGGTCTGTCTTTGCGTCTACAATTTTTGCCTTGACCTTACATTTTAAGTAAAACCAGCACTTGCGCGTCTGTTAGTGTAGTGTTAGACCTTCAGCGTTGTATGTTAAGCACATTTTTTAGAAGAAAACAAGAAAAAAAAATGCAGTAAGCTTGTAAATCTAGTATCTAGATCTAGTAGTAGTGAAGTGGGGTATTAGGGAGGCTTATATTCAACTATAAAAGTATAAAATCCGTAACGTTACGGGCTACTTAAGAGTAGATGTTTAACTTTGTGTGGTGGGGGGGGGGGGGGGGTAGAGGGGTAACAATATATAAAGGAACTGCTTTAAGTGCTGCCATATGTAGCATAAGTATTAAAACAATTAGGCTAATTGCTCAATCTTAATGAAAACCACACAGTCCTACATGATTTCGTGATAGTAAGAATGCCCCTTTCAGCTAAAGCTATTTCAGCATATTATAGTTTAAAGTAGATCTAGACTACGTTAGATTATGTTACACTTAAGCTTGCAGTTGTTAATTGTAATGTAGCCTCGGAATCGGCTATATAGGCCTACATAACATCTAGTCTAATTTAAGGGTCATCTGTAAACGATGTCGAATTTAGCCGATTTACCCCCACCCCATATCGTCAAGACCAACACCTCAGTACAGTGGCGTAGCTAGGGAGGGCGGGTGGGGCGGCCGCCCCGGGAGCCGACCTTAAGGGGGCGACAAAAGGGTTAGAAAAATTAATTAAAAGGCTCATTTTAAGCTGAAGTATTGAAATAACCACAGTCAGTTACGAAATTAAACGACTACAAAACTTTACATAATTGCTTTTTCACAGGCAGAAATAACTATATTTAGAAATGGGAGGGAGGGGGTGCAAAATTAATAGTCCGCCCCGGGCGCTGGATTAGGTCGCTACGCCTCTGCCTCAGTATAACCCCCCCCCACAAAAATTTTATACGCCTTTATGGGGAGTTTTTTTTTACCCCCCCCCCCTCTCCCAATGACCATTTCCTGGGTACGCCACTGGACTGTAGGCCTATGAATAATATGTCTGTATACGTGTCAATAAGCGATCGGTGCTATGGCGCAGAGTAAGAGTTTTTTACTACTTCGCTCATCAGCCGAAATCGTTTGTGATGCAGCGAATACTCAAACGGATTTTTTTTCCTTTAAGATGCAACAAATATAGTCCTTCTTAATCAGAGGCGTATATTAATTATAATATATCTTTGTGGTGCTCTGATTAACTATTGAATTATAATATTCCCTTCATCAATAATCAGTGGCGTAGCGAGGTCGGGTGTCACCCGGTGCGGCACTTAATGGTATCACCCCCCAGAGGCGTAGCGACCCTTCCCGGGGACAAATTTTCGATTTGCACCCCTCCTCAAACTTTCGATTTTCACCCCCTCCCCCCCCCCCCTCAAGATTTTCTCTATATATTTTGCTATTTTTTGCCTTGGTGTCACCCCCCTAAATGGTGTCACCCGGTGCGGTCCGCACCCCGCCCCCGTCGCTACGCCTCTGCCAATAATAATGTTAAATGTAGGTTGATGTTATACAGTAGCGTCAGAAAGCAGGTGTTGCATTTTGCATGGACACCGTTTAGAGGGTGACACCAAATCGAAAAACATCAGTTAAGACTGAACAACGTGTAATTTTAAAGACGACCGTGCAGTTAGTTTGAGTTAGTCCACGATTTTGTTGTTTGATACCTCCGATATTATTAATTTTAAGAGCGAACGAATGGAGATTCAGCAAACGTAAAAAATATTAATACGAAGAGGCAGTGGTGTGGCGAGGTCGGGTGTCACCCGGTGCGTCACTTCATGGTGTGACCTCCAGAGGCGTAGAGACCTTTCCAGGCGCCCCCTCAAACTTTCAAGTGCACCCCACCTCAAACTTTCGATTTGCACCCCCCTCCTCAAACTTTCGATTTGCACCCCCCTCAAGTTTTGATTTGCACCCCCCCCCCCCACCGTTGTCGCGGATTTATCGTAGGTCGACCGTTTGAAATGGATAACAATATTAAGAATTCAATATTCTGCGCTTCTGTTCCTTAGAATATAACGGATACAGTGGCGTAGCCAGGATCGTCTCAAGGGGGGGGGGGGGGGTCCAATTTTCGATTTGCACCCCACCTCAAACTTTCGATTTGCACCCCCCCCCCCCCCCTTCAAACTTTCGATTTGCACCCCCCCCCCCCCCCCGCTCAAACTTTTCATATATATACTTATTACCGAGGGGTCTACGCCACTGAACGGATAAAACAACAACTCTAAAAATTTAATTTCACGAAAATGATGCTATAAATCTAGGAGAATGCTGCCATTCTATAAAAAGAAAAAGTATTCTTGATTTTATAAATAAAGAACTAAATTCAACTTTTGCTTGCCTACGCATAAGTAATTAAATTGTATCATTTTATGACCGTCAATAAATATTGTGTAAAATCAAGTAAGGGTACACCATTTATTCAATGTTGTCTGTTTAGGCCGAGGCCTATTTCAAATGCCATAATATGAGGAGTTGTTTTTTTTTTAATATTATTTTTACTTCCTGGGAAAATTTCGCACTTCTTGTGCGTCTGGAGTCAATAAAACTTTACTACACAGTAAGAAAATCTAGTCTTAGTGTTGTTTTTTTCTTTAGGATGGCATAGCCTAGCGGCCTAGCTTCATATTTAATTTTAAAGATCTTTCTATAACAGTCACAGAGACAACGAATAAAAAGTAAAAAGCAGTGTACTGTAACACTGTTCCCTGTTTCAGTGTAACACAGTGTTCAGTGTTACTCTACTGTTACAGACTTACAGTACTTAACTTACAGAACCTGGTGTAAGTGACTAATCGATCTAAAATCTAAGTCTGTAAGTCAGTGTGTTGGACTTGGTGTTAAGTTAATGTTGGAGCGTGGACTAGTGTAGAGTGTAGTCAAGTGTAGTGTAAGTCACTGTTCACTGTGTAAGTAAGTGTGTAAAAAGTAAGTGAAGTTACCGAAGTTTCTAACTTGAGTAACTTCTACTCTAGCCTGCTCAATTAATTACAAATTTTTGTCTTTGAGTTTTTACTTTAGTTAGTGATGTGTCTTTACTGTTTTACTTCTTTACTTTTGCCCCCCTCCCATAAATTTATCTAGATTTCTAGATTAGATCTGCTAATTAATGAGTATGAGGTAGGTAAGATCTACACTACTAGATTTAGAATCGTACATATAGGCCTATTTAGAACTGTTAAGTGTTAACTCAGTTAACTGTTTCTAGATCTGGAATTAGATCTGTTAAGTAATATAAGTTAAGTATTAATCTCTCTATCTTCTAGGGCCTGTTTTTCTATCCTCCTCTTTCACTTTTTCTAACCCTTAAAAATATAATAATATATCAGCTAAATCTTATACTCTACTTTACTAGACTAGATCTAGATCTATCTAAACACTTGTCTTTTTAAAAGATTGAGGAATCTATTAGGTTACTACTATAAAGTAATTTTTTCATATTACTCATTCCGAATGTATTTTTCTGTTTAGTTAACATGACGTTTAACAGTTTTGGTCAGTCGTCGTACAGAAGTGGAAGGACATCGTCCAGTTGCAGTGATAGTTCATTTTCGTTCTCGCAGGCAATGGAAGGCTACGATTATGAATTTGTACCCCCGCTGGAACAAAGATACGAATGTCCTATATGTTTGCTTATTTTACGTGAGCCGCGCCAAACAAAATGTGGGCATAGGTTCTGTAGAGACTGCATTATACGTTGGCTACGGTAACGTATTTATACAATTGATTATCTAATTAATTATCTAAATTGACACAAATTAAATAAATTAGTAAATATCTTTTCTAAAAAAAAATTTTTTTAATTTATTTACCTTAATTATACTTAAGTATTTTATATACTACCTTTCAAGAAATGAATTTTTACCTACGATAAAGAAATGTATCTAATTAATATTTAATGTTGTAGTGACTCTTGCACACGATGTCCTGTTGATAATGAAACACTGGTGGAAAATGATGTTTTTCCTGACAATTTTGCTAAGAGAGAAATACTAAATTTCAACATCAGATGCCCTAATACAAAAGATGGATGCCAACAGATTATTCCCCTTGGAAAATTACAAGTAAGAAAAAATATCTCTTATTTAATCAGTATTGAAAGATAAATAAAACAGTATGAATCAGAAATTAGATTATGTTTGAAGTTTTTAAAATAAGTATCCATCTGTTTAGAATCACCTGGATGTCTGTCCACATTCTTTGATGCCTTGCCCCAATAAATGTGCATCCATACTACATCGCTGTGATATGGAGCACCATATTGCACATTTTTGTGAATTTCGTCTGGTGGCATGTGAATTTTGCTCAACCAGTGTCAAAGCTAACCTGCTTGAGGTACGTAAATTCACATCATTTTCAAGGTTTGATTAGATATATTTTTAGAACCCCTGGAGAAAATTTTATTTTATTCCCACAATGTTTAATTTGTTACGAAAGAGGAATGCATGTTTAACAGATTACATCTGAGGATAATGATATTTTGTAATTTCTTTTAAAGCCAGAAAGTACAAATAGTTCCTGGTCAATAAACATGGTTAAACAGAAATATATATATAGATGTGATAGGCCTAAACAGACTGAACATTGAATAAGTTATCATGATAACCAGTTTTTATGTTGAGGAATAGATAAACATGAATAATGTCCCTGAAAAACCGATTATTACTGATGTTTACAGAATTTATTTATTTTTATGTTTTGTGCGTATGAAGGTACACAGCAATGTCTGCCCTAAAGCTAAGGTATCCTGCCAACACTGTGAACTGCCCATGTGTAGAGATGAGGTTTGTTGCATAATCAGATGTGTATTAACGTTAACACACACTTAATGAGATTAAATTAATGTTTAAAGGGATGAGGTTTTTACATTGTCATATGTGGAGTCAGCATGGTGTGACCTACTTAGGTCGAGTCAGGTTCTATTTTTATTTTGACATTGTATAATTCCTTATATGGAGTGATTGTGCAACAACCGGAAAATTTCCACTGACTTATTAAGGGGTCTAAGACATAGAAATTTTCCATTAAGATCTGATTGAATGATTCTGGTCAGATGACTATCCCAACCAATGGCTACATGAGTTGAGGATAATCTCCCCTGTTGCAGAAGTCTTTAATTGCCCCGCACACTCGCAACACGAGGCAGTCTACAGGGCGATTTTACCTTGATCAGACCAGGCCGTCCATATTGTCCGGCTATAGACTCTGACCATTTGAACGTGAGAGAAATTAAGTCCTGTGTGTGCCTTGCTTTCTTAAGTTGATTTAGGCTTCTAGTATAATATTACTCGTCGCTGAGTTATTCCAGAAGCTATAGCAGTGTTGTGTGGCCTGTAGTTTTTTAGACAGTGTAGAAATCTGTGATAGTGTTTTTCCTACATTTTGTAAGTTGTGTTTTGATATTTTATACATTAAATATTTTAACTAGTTCAACCTTGTGTTTTGCCACAACTGTGTTCGCTGATTAAAGTTGTATGTAGATTGGATGAGTGTTAATTACAATAGTATCACTAGTTTACCCTAGACATAGAATTCGAGCCCTAGTGTGCCGTTGTGTTAGTGTTCATCCACTTAGGCCGTAAGGCATTTGCATATGATCCCGAAAAAAGAATCCGGGGACGTTCACCGTCTATTTGGCTGATAGATAGGGGACGTTACAATGGTTAGAGGATAGAGCTTATGCCTGTTAACACAAAAGACTTGGGTTCCGATCCTCGGGCTCCAGTCAGTGGACATCCCTGATTCCACCAAGCATGTTTGAGCATAGTGCTGACTACATAATCCCCTTGTGTATAGTCATCAATGAAACAGATGAACTCTGCTTTATCTGCCCTATGTGCCCTTTTAGTACCAACTAGATAAGTTGAAAGAGCTACAGTTTTTACACTATCATATGTGTTACAACATTTATACCAACTTGATAAGTTAAGAGTTGACATTTGTACATGTCATGACATTTATAACATCTTGATACATTTAAAGAAATGAAGTTTGTACATCGCATATATGTGTCATGACATATACTATATTTATAAGGATATAGAAAATAAAACAGTTTCGTATTTTAAAAAAATTATAGAATTCTGGACCTTTTTGGAAAAAAAAAATTAATCAATTCTAAATTATAAAAAGTATTGAATGGGTTTTGTGCATACCAACTCATGTATGGAGGAAGTTAGATTAGCACACACAGTTTTGTATATGAACTGTGTTAAGAAGGTAGTTCAGGAAGTATATTCCTGACAAGCAAATAACTTTTGCCATTAACTATTTTTAAAAGAACCCGGTTAATTAGGAAAAAATAATTTGCTTTTTACAATGTTTCACTAATAAAGTTTTCAACATTTTTCAGATGCAAGATCATCTTCAAAGAGACTGCCAACAAATGCAGATTCATTGTCCTTTTTATCCTCTTGGTTGTGGTCATGTTGTAAGCATTGAAAATTTGTTATTGGTTTCAAATGAGTTTAACAGTATCAATACACATGATATATGTTAGGGCAATCTGTAATTGACAGCATACAATTAGGGCAGATGGTGTTTTTACTTTTGTATTGTCCTACCATGTAAGAGAGGGGTAAAAATTGTATACAATTTTAACTTTGTTTATGGGTGGCCTATTTTTTTATGTTAAAGTATTATATATGTTTTAATAAGTTTTAATATATATATATATATATATATATATATATATATATATATATATATATATATATATATATATATATATATATATATATATATATATATACACATATATATATATATACACATATATATATATATACACATATATATATATATACACATATATATATATATATATATTTATTTATTTATATATATGTATATATAAATGTATATATATATGTATTTATGTGTATGTATATATATATGTATGTATGTATATATGTATATATATGTATATATATATATATGTATATATATGTATGTATATATATATATATGTATATATATGTATGTATATATATATATGTATATATATGTATGTATATATATATATGTATATATATGTATGTATATATATATATATGTATATATATATGTACATATATATATGTATATATATGTGTCTTTTTTTTGTAGATAATGCGGAGCAAGGAAAATGAACATTTGATAACAGAATGTGCATCCCACATGAAACAACTCTGCTTTGCAGTAACACGGCTAGCCAATCACAGCGGGACGCACATGATTGATCCAAACGAGTGCACAGAAAACTCGTTAAGTGATGGTTTAGCTGGGACCATGAAAAATCTACTTCAGTCCTTTAACTCTTTCTCGACTGCAGACACAGCTGCTGGAAACTTATCCTCCAGGGACGCAGGCAACAGTGCCAGCCTACACAGCACGTTTCAAGCACTTCAGCTTGCAAGGGTATCAGACAGCTGCTCTGAAGATGAGTCATGCCGGAAAGAAATTCTAACTCACCATAACTACAAAGATAACGTACATTTCTCTTCGGCAACCAATTTACATACAAGAGGAGAGGACGGCAGACAAAACAGCACATCGCCTGTCCACTACAGCGACCCTGGTTCGGAAACATCTCGGGCATCCGCATCTCAAAGCGTCAAACCGAAACTACCGTTACGTAGATTGAGCTTCCAGGCTCATCCCCCTTTAACTCAAGATTCCTGCAGCCTGTATTATAAAGAGAATTCAGCCTCGGAGCAGATAACTGAGGCGTCGTCCTCCCAGATGTTTCGGTACATTCAAGAGTTAAGTTCCCAGTTTGAAGCCAGAGCTGCCCAGCAACAGCAGCGTATTGAAGAGCTCCAGAAGATGGTGGTCAGCGTCGAGAAAACAAATTCCGATCTGGTCGCCAAGGTCAAAGAACTGGAAGTTCAAGTAGATAAGGAAAAGGAAGGGAGATTTTATAACGGTGATTTTTACTGGAAAATACAAGAGTTTTCGCAGTACCAGTTAAAAGCCGTAGCAGGGGAGCCAACCATGTTGCATAGTCCACCGTTTTATACGAGTGCGTGGGGTTACAAACTGTGTGTGCGGGCTAACATCACCAGCCAGCAGCCACCCTATTTATCACTTTTTGTTCATTTCATGCAAGGACAAAACGATCACATTCTTTCTTGGCCTTTTTCTGGGAAAATTGTTCTGACCATTGTTGACCAGAACCCGGATGTGAATGCTAGGATTCATATTTCTGAAACATTGACTGCAAAGCCTCACCTTGCAGCATTTCAGAGGCCCACAACGGTTAGAAATCATAAAGGTTTTGGCTACGTAGAATTTATACAGCTGCCTTCATTGAGGCAATATTACACAGTAGATGATACAGTTATCATTAGAGCACAGGTGTTTTCAGATCAATAGTATATTTTCTCCACTAATAAGTTGTCTCCCTTGTAAAATTGTAAATTTACTTTAAACAGGATTAACTTAGTCCTAAGGGCATTTGTTTTCTTTACCTCACAAATTGGAGCATTATATTTATATAAAAAAAAATTTCTTGTATAGTTAGTAAATGTGTAAGTAGCTTCATAATAATAGTTGTAAGAGTATGGTATGTCTTTATTACAAAAAAAAATGTAAACTAAAGCCCCTAGAGTTGTGAAAATAATGTTTTCATATTGCTTCATTGTTTATGGATTTCCTCGGCTACCCCGCTTTCTTAACGGCAAATTAGAAAATTCAAAGTCTTACAATAACATAATTAAAATTAGTGAAAAATTTAAATCAATTTAATATAAGGCTGAAAATAAGTTTTAGGATTATTTTTAAACAATAATTTTACCTAAATCATTTTAAATACCGTACTCAAGTTAGATCTAATGTGGGAACAACTACAGCCTTAGATAAGCAAATCTGTGTTATTACAAGATCTATGCATTTTTAAAAAATGTTATTTTGCCATACAAACATTTGGTTTATGTTGTTATTAATCAAAGTCATGTTATTTGCTAAAAAAAAATTATGTTGCAAATGTAGCCAAAGATTTTTCTTCATCATCACATTAATTTTTGTGGATGTAATGAGTGTTGATAAATTGTTGCTGGATATTTGAGCTTGCTGTTTTATTTATAATATATTATTCAGTGCACATTTAATACACAAAAGACACCTTATTTTTGTGTGTAGGCACTTTATGAACATTATTCACTAGAATTTTAAAAAATTCACCAACTTTTAAAATCTTTACAAAAATACATTAATAACATTTTTCATCCCTACAGTGAAGTGAATACTGTTAAAAACACTAAAACACATCTTGTAATTTATTGTTAAGGAGCTTAAAGTTAATAGACGGTTTCAAAATTTAATAATTTCATATTTTTATAACATTTATTAACATTTATGATTCACGATTTCATCCAAAACTGGTTCTAATTAAGTTAAAAATACACATTGTATTTAAATCCCTGTATTTATCACGAGAACAATCCCAGAATGCATCATACTTGATATATACTTGTGTATAAATTATGCATGATCTAAGTTTAGTCATATTTAAAATGTTTTTATTGCTGTCCTTGATTTTTTTTTAAAAATTCTAATTTGATTTCACCTGAAAATGTAACATGTACTCTAAATTTATGTTCTTTTGATTGAATACTAAAATTTACGTATATAAATTTACTAAACAGGACAATCGCTATGCCAAAGAACAATTTATTCAGAGACTTGTTGGATTCCCAGAACGAAATCCAAAAATATTTGTTCAGTAACATTCTGCGTAGGTTATGAAAAAATTTTTTTTTAAACTATAGGGTTAAATAAAATCTTGTAGTTTTTTTTTTTTTAATTTGCTCAAACAGTTAATTTCAATTTTACCTTTTAATTAATTTATAAGAAATTAAGTAACCTGCCAATTCATGCCATATTATTTATTTGTTTATTTCTTTTTAAAAAATTGGTTGGATATTAGAAGCTGTATTGTGACAGTTTAAGAAACTAATTATGAAAAAATTAACCTGATGCATTTTGAAAAATATACAATCCAATCAAAGCACACAAAATTTAATACTAGGCAAATTATTTGTGTACACACCACGAGAAATTCAACAGTAAAATAAAGAGTATTTTTAGCTACTACCTCTTTATAATTTACAATTGACCAATGGTCAGTGATTTGATAAAGCGCATCTGCTGTAGCTGGCTTGCAGTTGTATGTCTATATGAAATCCAAACAATTTATCCTTGTATTTGTCCTAGTCTCGCATGGGCCAAAATGTCACATTGTAAACTGTTAAGAATTTAAGTTTGGTAACAGAGAGCGTTTAAAATGTAAGTAGGTCTTGAATTGTAATGTCTCAGTATTACTAAATTACATTTAATGATAATTGAATTTGATTTTTGTTCTTTTATAGTAGTAGACATGATTGGGTGTTGCTGACTTGGCCAAAAATATTTATTTTTATGCTTGATATTGTGACTGAAACATAACCAAACCCTTAAAGCATTGTAAATTTGTTGGGTGGAGAAGCCAGAAGAACACTGATTTTTTTTTTCTTGAAGTAATGAACATCAAGTTTGGTGAATATATTAAACTTTTATTTTACTTAAAAGGGGAGATAATTTATTGATATTCACAAATACAAGGGCATTTTTTTTACTATGTAAAAGTTATATTACTGTTACCCATTTTGCATTCTTCATATTTCGAGTTTTCTGAAATTCTGTGATGCCAAGACTTTTTCAGTGAACCTATACTTGTACTTGTTATGATAGCGTATTGCTTGCTTAGCACTAAACTTTGCTATTGTGGGACTAGTTTCTCTCATTCCAAACTTACAACATATCTAGTACACTGTTCAGTATATTTATATTTTAGACCTACATCAAGTATATTGTATTTATAAAATTCAAAGCAGTTATCTCTCTTGCAAGCAGATTATTTCCCTTTACAGTCAACCTCATGAAAGAGTTTATGAATACAGTAATTTTAATATCTAGAAGGCTTAAAGACCTACAAATGAGTCTCATCTAGACCCTGTTAGCTCAAGTCTGCTTCTTAGTTGTTGGCAAAGCTTGATTTTTCTTAAACTATTGGCTTTACATTATGTACATTGTTTCTTTTTATCCAGATTATTGTTTTTAAATATTTGGAGGATTTTAAAAACTAGTGTTTTTGAAGAAGATTTATTGTAAATTTTAACATTTAATTATGCATTTTAGTTATAATTGTTTCATTGAAAACACTGTAATTTAGGTAAGTTTTATCTTTTAATGTGATCTTTTTGTAAAATAAAAAAAAATATTTTAATGCTTTTTTTAAAATGTAATTAGAATTTACAAAAATAATAACCAATAAAAACAAAATTTATTCTAAAAATCATGTGTTTTATAATTTTTAAAATATTCTTGGATTTTAGTAAGTTTGTGTTTAATGGATGAGAAAAGATACTCCTTTTATTTTATTTAATTAGCTTTAACTGATGTGAATTAGTTGCATAACAAATCAAATGGGTTAAATAAAAATAAAACAAATTTATACATTTTAAACCTGAAATAATAACCTATTATTTAAATGTTACAGCAGGTAAAGGATAATTTAAAAAATAATATTGCACAATTGTTATTTTCAAAATCATTTTTATCATAATTAAAATATATGTATATTATTGCATAATTTATAAACATTTATAAAAATATAAGTGCACAGCTTAAGTATTATAAATGATATAAAAAAAGAAAATGCTAAACTCAATTGTCTAATACTTGGCAGTAATATTTTTAACAGCTACTGCTCATAGTGTGTTTCAACATATTCATATTGTCAAATTTTTAGACAATTCTCTTCATCAATGAAATAAGAAATTTAAGTCATTATTTATTTCATAACAATGCGGAGTTATCTTTACATACTTAAAAATGTTTAAAATATTTGGTACTTTATCCTTTATGAAAAATTGCCACTTAAACATTGATTTAAGTGGATCACTTAAACCTTGATTTAAGTGGGTCACTTAAACCTTGATTTAAGTGGGTCAATTAAACCTTGATTTAAGTGGGTCATTTTAACCCTGATAAGACACAATCACTTTTACAGTGATAAAACTATATCACTTTAGTCTTGATCCCACTGTGTAGCTGATCAAACTTGATCAAACTAGATCACTTAAATCTTGATGAAATTAAAGTGGTGTGTTGCTTGTAGTTTTGATGAACCCTGGTAATTAGTAGTCTGCCCCTGAAAATCCTGATTACTTGATACCTACAGTTAGGAAGGTCTTTGTAAACCCTGGTTATCTTTTGAAAGAAGGTCTTTGTCAACCCTGAATCTCTGATGCAGGAAGGTCTTTGTAAACCCTGATTTTCTGTCGATTGCATCATAGGTCTTTGTGAACCCTAGGTACCTGTTGACTGAAGGTCTTTGTGAATCATGTTTTTTTATATTGTAGGTAGTACTTTGTAAACCCTCTGTTGTCTGCGTAGTAGGTGTTTTTGAACTCTAGGTTTCTGTTGTAGAAAGGTCCTTATTAAATCAAGTTATTGAACTGCATCTCATGTTGTCTTTTTGATACACTCTTGCATTTTTAAGGGGTCATCCATAAATGACGTCACACACGTAGGGGGGAGGGGGTCCGTAATTTTGTGACGATGTGTGATGAGGGGGAGGGGGGGGGGGGTTCAGATGTTGTGACGTCACATTTTTGCATTACAAAAAAGGAATGTTAGAAAACGAATTTTAGACGTTATTTCGCGTTTTAGATAACTGTTTTAATAAATTGTAATAGTTTAGACAAGATTTTGGAAAAATATCGATGTTTTAAAAAAATTCAACTGCAATTTTGAGGGGGGTTGTAGGTTGAGGTGTGACGTCATTTTAGGGGGGGGGGGGGTCTGGCTTTTTGTGACGACGTGTGACGGAGGGGAGGGGGGGGGGGGGAGGTAAAAATCGTCAAAAAAAGCGTGACGTCATTTATGGATGACCCCTAAGGTCTAAAAGGTCATTATAGAACCATAGATATCTTTTGCTTGTTAGTTCAAAGGTCTTTGTTGACCTCATTTTTCTACTCCTGCAAGTTGGAATGTCTTTGGGAGTCTGGCTACCTCTAGCTTTCATGCAGGAGTACCTATGTTATTCCTGCTACCTGTAGCCTTTAGACAGGAATGTATTTGTGAGTCTGGCTACCTTTAGCCTTTGTGCAGGAGTACCTATGTTATTCCTGCTACCTGTAGCCTGCAGGCAGGAATGTCTTTGTAAGACTTGGCTATATGTAGCCTTCATGCAGAGTACCTGTGTTACCCTGGCTACCTGTAGCCTGGAGGCAGGAATGTCTTTGTTAGTCCCAGCTACCTTTAGCTTGTAGGCAGGAATGTTTTTGTTAGCCCTGGCTACCTGTAGCCTGCAAGCAGGAATGTCTTTGCCATCCCTGGCTACCTGTAGTCTGCAGGCAGGGATGTCTTTGTCAGCCCTGGCTACCCTGTAGCTATCATGCAGGAGTACCTGTGTTAGCCCTGGCTACCTGTAGCTTGCAGGCAGGAAATGTCTTTGCCTATAGGCAGGGTTGTGTCTGGTAGCCCTGGCTACCTGTAGCCTGCAGGCAGGAATGTCTTTGTGAAGCCACCAAGCCCTGAAGTTGCAGCCAAGTTTGAGGCAAACATTTCTTCCTGGTAGAACAAACCGTCCTGCCTGTGGTACTGACCGCTAGGTGGCGTGATTTCCATAAAACTGTTGCCATAGGAACCAACTGGCAGAGTCGATCCAACTGTGAGAATATCAGAATTTTTAAACATTTTTTTTGACATCTTAAAAAAATCCGAAATTTAAAAAAAACAAAAACCCCGACACCTTTATTGTAACATATGTAAACAGTTTTGATTTTGATAGAAAGGTGAGACCAAAAATAATCAATTAGGACATTACATTGGGGATTTACATGGGTCCATCTGAAGAGAACCACCCAGAATTGAATGCGTCCGAAAAGAAAGGTGCGTTAATGTCTGAAGGGCTGGGAGAAAGTAATGTCCCGCGCCCCATTTGGAGTACAGGATAATGGCACCAAATGGTAATGGTGGGGGGGGGGGAGCAACTGAAAATTCCGATGAAGAGGGGGGGCAACTGAAACTTTCAAAAAGGGGAAGCAGAAACTTGTTTGAGTATACACTTGCTATATTTACTATAGGCCTACCTACAGTGTTTCTTCCAGACTTTTTAATCCGGGGGGGGGGGGGGGGGACACATGAAATTTTTGGGGTGGAGGCAAAACTAAAATTTCCGTGGGGGGGGGGGGGCACTGTCAAAAGTATATATCTTCTATATAAATGTCATTTCGTTCGGGGGAGGTGGGTGTTAAACTCTTCGGGGGGACTCAGTCCGTTCCCTCCCCCCCCCCCCCCCCTCCGAAGGATTGTATTGAAAAAAAAACTTTGCCTATATATACTTTTCTATGTCTTGCAACGGAGTGGGCGATGGATGTGCACATGGTGAAAAGGAATGGGAGGTGGGGGGGGGGGTAGGTCGCACGGAGAGGTGCTCGAAAGAAACACTACATACAAACCTTGGAAATTGTCCCCTGGTCTGGGGTAGTACATCGCCGTTCTGGAAGAATCGAAAGATGACGCCGGAAGCGCCAGGTTCTCCAGAAAACTGTTGGATCTTGGGAATCCGTCCGCGGTTGTGTTTGTCCTGGGGAAACCGTCAGATGCGGGGAGAGTTATGTTTTCCTGGTAGACTGCTCCGCGGAGTAGAGATTGTTTTTTGTAGGAATCATGGGATGGCTGATGATAATTGTAGGCGAGGTGAGAGTAAGGGTCACTGTGGTGAGGGCGGGATTCGGTCCAGTATGGCGGGACTGTTGATGGTGAAGGGTTAACGGTGGGGGTAAAGGTTAAAGGGTGGAATGTCTGTGATGTGGCGTGATCAGCGAGTGTTTGGACTTGCCTTGCGGAGGGGTAGGTGCTGGCGTGGGTGACGTAATCAGTGTAGGAGTTGAAGTAAGGAGTGAGGTAGGTGGAGCGGTCGTAAGAAGGTAGGTGTTTGATAGGGGTGAGAGGTGAGGGGTTTAATGATGGCGCCCGCATAGAGTCGCTGCAAAGGGAAGGAACTGTAGTGTTGATATCGTTGTCGGAGTTGTCTCTCTGGGTTAAATTTAGCCGCAGAGAACGTAAAAATGATGGGCAGTTGCCGATCGGTTGGTGGTGAGCAGTGGACGACGAGCTGAAGTTCTGGAACGTTTCTTCTGGAGTCAAGTTTGTTTCAGTTTCATCTGTAGACAAAATAAAACAAAAATATAATTAAAACCTGTAAATAAAAAAAGTGGAATAATTTAAATTAAAGTATGCATATTTTCTGTCAACCAAGACCAAGGGTGGAATGGCTATGTCCAAACGGCCCGCGAACATTAGTAGTATATGTTATCTCCCTCTTCGTTATTAAATTTCATCATATTTAAATTAATTTTAATTACTAATTTAATATATATATATATATAATTTGATTTCAAATTAGATATTTTTGCGATGTCTTTGGAGATCAATGTATCTGCTAACTTGAAATGAAATCACTAACGAGATATAATTTTTCGAACTAAATTAATTGTTGTGAACATAATTCCAATTGATAACTAAAAACAAGACGGCTATTAATATTTCTAGGACATGCTTCAAGAGTTTAAAATGCCGAAAATTCCAACAATATAACAAGTAAAATATTATTATTATTTTTTTATTACTAAAAATAGAATCAAATTAAGTACTGATAGTAATTCGAATAAATAATAACAAACTGTACACGTGTTGAAAAAAAAAATCCCAGTTTAACACAGGCTATATTTTCTTTAGACTAGGTTACATCTTTTAGTCTGAATTATCATTGTGTACGATTTAAAATAACTTAATAGCGAAAGTATTTATATTTGATTTGAAAAATACTAGCAGGAAAATCATGAAAACGAGATGGAAGTGACGTACTTACAAGACGAGAGCGACAAGAGACAGATGATGTAAGTGAGATAAAAGCTCATTTATTTTTTGCCTCAGATAATTAATTTAGAGCATAATTTTGCTTTGCATGTTCGTTTTAGTATTACAGTTTTCATCATCAGCTTGTGAGGACTGATACAGATTTACAATATAAGATGGTTTACTAAAACATAGATATAATACAAAACGTCTAATTACAATTTTATTTTTAAAAACACAACAACTGAAAATGCAAATGTGTAATTAAATGATGATTTAAGGGATTTTTTTCCATCGGCGTGGTGGGCTTAGGGGGTTTGGGCTTTCAAGTAGAGCTGAAATAAATTTGGGATTAAAGAAAAAAAATCATAAATATTTTAAGCAACCGGAATGTTATGTTGATTACAATGAGACACACACATCAAATCAAACATTATTCCCTTTCAAACATCTATATCTATAGCAGTCCTCCCCCCCCCCCCCCCCCCACAGTTTTTTTTTACTTTATTTTAAACATTTAAATTAGTAATACTAATATTTTTCGGTAGTTTTACATTTTCAAAGACACGAGCGTCAATTGTATATATAGTAATTAAGTGGAAAAAACAAAAAAAGCCTAAGAACCAGACTAATATAGTGTGTACAACTTGGTTTCTGTTGTCTGCTTAGTTTACACTGCTCCATTCTCAGCTGCGTTATCAAAAGTTGACATTGTAGCTACCCTTGGCCAGAAACAAAAACGACCATAGAATCATTTCATGATAATAAACCGGGAGTGATCTCCCCTAAAATTTCTCGAATATTCTTATATAAAACAACAGGGGATGGGAACTCGGGATATAGTTATGACTTTTAATCCATTTTAAATACTTAAACTTTTTAAAATAGAATAGAATCTCATAGAAAAAGAATTGCGCACCAAGCGAACGCCAAAACAAAATGTGCATAATAGTGCGAAATATTATTAGTACTTTATAAATTTACATGCGTTTTTTGAGAAATCGGAAATAGCGTAAATTACTACTTCCGGTCAACGGAAATTGCTCAAAATTTAGAGGTAGAGGATTAGATCTTTTACTTACGTGTGAGATTTCATTTATCTATCTGAAATAGTACTCAAGTTATAGGCTTTTGAAAAATTCAAAGTGAAAAAAGTACCACTTCAGGTTATCGGAAATCGCTCAAAAGTTGATACGGATCTACGATTTTGATAAAATACTTATATATGAAATTTCATCAATCTAGCTGTAAGGGTACTCAAGTTATCGTTTTTACACACACACACACACACACACAGACACACAGACATATGGACAAGATTGCAAAATTATGTTTTGTCCGTATCAGCGATTTTTTTTTTTTTGCACGATTACAAGACTTTCTCGAAAGTAAAAACTGAATTCTTTTGCCAATTATTGATAGACCGTAAATTTCCTTTTTTCTTTAAAAAATAATGTTTACAAATATGGTTGTTCTTTATGTTAACTTGAATAAAATATAATTTAAATATTTACAAATAAAAATTTAAAAAGTTATTTCCAGTTAGAATTACAAGATGTATAATTAATATTATAAAAATTAATATTATAAAAATTAATGATAGTCTATCTTTTCTTGTTAACACTAAATTGCAATGTACTCATATTGAATGAAAAATGCAGTTCTTTCCCTTTGTTACTTTTGAGTATTGTAAATGGGACGCAACTAATAAGTTCAGTAATTAATATTAAATAGTCCTAACTCTTTTGGAACATTGCGTTGTATCAACTTATTATAAACGTTTATGCTATATATCTTTGTAGTGTTGTGTTGTCTTTTATCTAGTTTTATTTTTCATTGTCTATGAAAACATGATGTTCAGTTCCTCTGTCTAAGTTTTAAATAAAATATAGTTGTAAAATAATAAACTTTTAAAATCACCGAAAATTTGAAAATAAAACAATGTTTTTCTGTTTAAAAGCATTCGTCACTTAAGAAATCTTTTACACATTTTAGAGGCCAATGCTTTTACTTAAGAAAACTAAAGTTTGTTTTATTTTTTTAGTGTTAATGCGCATAAAAGCTAATTAGTAGGCATATGCTTCTTTTATTTGTGTTACAACAAAGCGGAAACTTCACCTTCGCTTTCGTGTTCCGTTTCTTTTCTCTTCCTAGTTTTCGGTGACGTCTGCAGCCGGTTGGCTTGGGATCTAACTTTAGCACTCATTTTGATCTCTTCTAGACACAATAAAAGTTAATTCAATTAAAACAAATTATTAGATTATACAGAGAATAAATATCTTTAACAAATACGAACAAAAACATGGACAGTAGACTTTAGCTAAAAACTATACCACTTAACAAGTTATTTCAAATAAACTGTGTAAAGTAAAGGTGATCACATTAGTAAAGCCCTATACCACATTCCCACAATCCATTTTTAGTAAGATCCATGTTTTTATTTATTTTTTAATTTAATTTATTCTATTTTTTACTTATTGTTTTGAATGAGGGCTATGATACAGGCCAGGGTTAAGTTCAGGGTTCGTCCATAAATGACGTCACACACGTAAGGGGGTAAGGGGGAGAGGGGTCCGTAATTTTGTGACGGTGTGTAGTGAGGGGGGGGTGTTCAGATGGTGTGACGTCACACTTTTGCATTATAAAAAAGCAATGTTAGAAAACGAGTTTTAGCCGTTATTTCGCGTTTTAGAAAACTGTTTTAATAAAGTGTAATAGGAATTGATTAAAATACTCCATGTTGACAGAGTTCTGTCAAGATTTCGGAAAATTTTCGATGTTTTAAGAAAAATTCAATTGCAATTTTGAGGGGGTTGTAGGCTGAGGTGTGACGTCATTTAACGGGGTGGGTCTGGCTTTTTGTGACGATGTGTGACGGAGCGGATGGGTGGAGGTAAAAATAGTAAAAATAAAGCCTGATGGCATTTATGGATGACCCCTTAACCTCTTAAGGTTAATATTAAGGCAAGGAAGTTTTAGGATATGGTTATGTGCTTTCAAATACAATGTAGTCTATGCTGGTTATCACCGAAGCATCACACTTTTAAATAAGACACAAGTGGAGTGTTATTATTATTAATGAGTTAACCCAGCTCTAATGGGCACCTGACTCACGTTAGAGAAAGTTAAGTCAGCTAGGCATAGCGCTGGCTACACTATCCCTTCATATTCCGACATCAAGGAAACTCTAACTTATCTGCTCATGTTTGAAAGATTAATATAACTTTTTTTATAATTTCACCTGACATCAATATTATGTGGTGAAGTGGTAGAGCCAGAGGCGTAGCGACCCTTCCAGCCGCCGGGGGACAAACTTTCAATGTGGTGCCTTCCCCGGGAACAACTTTTCAATTTTCAATTTGCACCTTCCTCAAACTTTCCATTTGCACCCTCCCTCAAACTTTCAATGTGCACCCCCCCCCCCCCTAAACTTTCCACTTGCAAACCCCCCGTATATTTTTTTTTTATATTTATAATTCAAAACTGCAGCTACAATGAGTTTTTATTTTGTTTATCCAACCCATTTTGGCGCCCCCTAAGGTCGGCGAAGGGGACATATGTACCCCCCTCCCGCCCCCCACCTCGCTACGCCTCTGGGTAGAGCGCTCGATTGCTAGCCCGAAAGTCTCGGGTTCGATTCTCACTTAAGTCTGCAGGACGTCCACCCAGCGTACTCAGGTTTGGGAAAATATTTTCGACCAGGCATATTGCTGAATACACCATCCCTTCACATGCCGAAGTGAAGAAACAAATGAACTCTACTTCATCTACCCTACCTGCGTTTTTCATATGCCGCTGTAGGTTTTTCTGCAGCTGTGCGTCTCTTTGTTTGTCTGTTTGTGTTTCCATGACCAGAAGGATGTACTCGTCTAAAGTCATCTTGATGAGGTGTAAGAAGGCTGAGGATACAATTATATTGTTTTGTGTTAACTTTTATCTTAGATCACTCACAACAGTTGTCTATCTATTGACTAGGTTAGACAAAGTACTCAACACAGCAAAATAGAAATGAACAAGACAAATCCCAGTAGGGCAAGACATTTGGTAAAGAAAGTTGGGATAGTTAAGACATACGTTGAGGAAACAGGCTACATATTGTATTCAAGGACTAGTCAGTCGTGGAATCCAAGAAGGATGCCAAAAAAGTTGGAGACCGAAAAAATGGAGACAAAAAAAAAAATTAAAAATAAAAAAAAAAACAACACCGGGCGTAAAGAATTTGAAAAAAAAATATGAAGATTACAGGAAACATTAACAGTTGTTATGAAAAGGAAACACAGAACATTAAAAGCATAGAAAAATGTTGAGAATGGCCTGTGCTCTCCAGTCGAAGAATAAGAAGGTACATTTATTATTGTAATATGGTAACAATTCCTAACATGTAATTTGAATTATTTTATTTGGCTATACGTAATTAAAATCTAAAAATGAACTATGGGGACTAATTATGTTTATTAAACTTGCACATTAATGAATAAAACGTATTTTAAGAGAGAAAAAAAAGAGACTAAGCTCTTTAATAGGGCTGGTAAATAGGTCAACAATCACTTCTATGGCCCATGCAGGTTTTATTGAGCCGACTATTGAGCCGTAGAATCGGTTGGTGACCTACTTACCAGCCCTATAATCCTCCCCTAATGCTCCAATCACTTCCAGTTGGATCGAGAAATCCGATTTTCGACCCAAAACCGAAACCGGAAACGCTCCATACAGACTACTTACAAAAGCTGAGAGCGTTGTTTAACGTGAGCTCCTTCATGACCAGAGCACCAAACATGGTCCACTGTAGGAGAAAACGTCCTGCCTTGTGCTGTAGCTTGCTGGTTAACGTCTCTTCGAACTAGGGATAGTGAGCAAAATAACTTTAATGTTTTATATAGACAGTTATATGTAAAATAAGTCAACACATCAGGATAGAAAACTGCGAAATCAAACTGGAGTAGAGTCCCTTTAGACATAGGATTACTAACTCTGGTTTTCTTTCGGCAACTCCAGCGACAAAGCTAACGCAAATTTGGGCATTAGCCATGCAGAGAGATGAGGTATGATAAAAGTATTAAAAGGGCAACAAATATCGATGGAATTAATTGCCTAGGTATTCTATAGAATGCCGATTTTTTTACCGGTTTATATATATATATATATATATATATATATATATATATATATATATATATATATATATATATATATATATATATATATATATATATATATATATATATATATATATATATATATATATCAGACGTCCGAGTTATCCGCTGGATAAAGGCCTCTCAGCAAAATAGCCTGTACAAAGATAGCCCCAAATTATCATAAAAACCTTCACTCTGTCTTACAACCATACAAATGAGCACCCTCAAAATACACCTATATCCATACATCTTCTATATCAGATCCCCCAACATTGCTATGCCACAATAGTTGAAAGACTCCGATTTCGTCACATTTACCTGTAGGACGTATTTGTCGACCAACCCGTCCACCCACTCTGTGTAGGACTCGACTTGAGATTGTTTACGTAGAAGGTTCTTCAGATCCTCAAAGACTTGAATAAGGAAATATAAAACAGCATTATAAATTGTAGTTAAAACACAGCAGAAATTTAAACAAGATTATATAATACTAGGCATACTGCCTAGCTTCGCTTAGGTTTTCAAAAGCATTTGTTGATAATTTGAATACTAATTATTTAGTGATGGTTGAGGTATGGAGTGCTTAAATTTAAACAGTAATGCTAATTTTAGAGAAGATGTTGTTGATTGTTGCTTATTATCCGTTGTTAGGGAAGTTATTTGAAAGGATGCAATTTATGACTAAAATGTAAATAGAACTACAGAGCTTCCATGAACAGTATATTCAATAATTTCTATTACATTGACTTTTAAAATTATTTTTTTTTAATTTAATTATGATACGCAGCTTAATTGGTAACTTAATTTTATACTAAAGCAAATGCTATACTTTGTCATTTTCTGTTTCTGTTTAAAATAGTATACAATTATTTGAAAAATAATTATTTTAATAGGTTACCTCCCTTGAAAATAGACCGAGTGACGTATGTCTTTGTTTTCTTTTTTTAAACAAACAGTTGCTATTCTTATATAAGAAAATACGATATATGAACATATTTAACGACTACAATGGCTTTTTTCCGACGGAAATAAAGTTTTTTTGTTATCCTCCAGGGTCGGTTTACGACCTCAAATAATATTAAGGGGATCGTTCGTCAATTTATTTATATACATCTCATATAAGGCGAATTTCACTCGCGGTCATCTTTTAGCCCTGGTCAAGGGGTTTGAGTCTGACCAACAGTTTTTCCATAGGGCCTAGTCATCTATAGAAGTGTATGCAAAACATTAGCATGATGTACAGAGGTTAAGTAACCTAAAAATTGTGTTGAAAATTCCCTGTTTTCCCCATAAAATACAAAGATTATATAGCGAAATACAACTGGTCAGTTTTGACCGCTTTACGAAGTTTTCCCAGATATGCTGAGTTTTTTGTGACACCCCTAGGTGTTCTTCTACCACCTCACAAAATATCAAGGGGGGTCGTGGGAGGAAATTTTTTTTCGTAATAGAGCTCATATAGAGAGAATTTCACTCGCGGTCACTTTTTAGCCCTCGTCGAGGGCTTTGAGTGTAACCGACAGTTTTCCCTAAAGGTCAATCCAATGACCTAGGAGCATGCAAAAAAATTAGTCAGATATACTGAGCTTAAGTACCCTAAAGTCTGCGTTGAAAAGACCCTCTGTTTTTCCCATAAAATACAAAGATTATATAGGGAAATACAACTGGTCAGTTTTGACCCCTTTACGAAGTTTTCCGTGATATGCCGAGTTTTTTGTGACACCCCAAGGTGTTCTCCTACCACCTCACAAAATTTCAAGGGGGGTCGTCGGAGGATTTTTGTTTTCGTAATAGAGCTCATATAAAGAGAATTTCACTCGCGGTCACTTTTTAGCCCTCGTCGAGGGCTTTGAGTGTAACCGACAGTTTTCCCTAAAGGTCAAGCCATTGACCTAAAAGCGTGCAAAACATTAGCCAGATATAAAGAGCTTAAGTACCATAAAGTCTGCGTTGAAATGACCCTCTGTTTTTCCCATAAAATACAAAGATTATATAGGGAAATACAACTGGTCAGTTTTGACCCCTTTACGAAGTTTTCCCAGATATGCCGAGTTTTTTGTGACACCCCAAGGTGTTCTCCTACCACCTCACAAAATTTCAAGGGGGGTCGTCGGAGGATTTTTGTTTTCGTAATAGAGCTCATATAAAGAGAATTTCACTCGCGGTCACTTTTTAGCCCTCGTCGAGGGCTTTGAGTGTAACCGACAGTTTTCCCTAAAGGTCAAGCCATTTACCTATAAGCATGCCAAAACTGAGCCAGATGTAAAGAGGGTAAGTGCCATAAAATCCGTTTTGAAATGACCCTCTGTTTTCCCCATAAAATACAAAGATTATATAGGGAAATACGACTGGTCAGGTTTGACCCATTTCCCGATTTTTCCCGGACATGGCGAGTTTTTTGTGACACCCCAAGGCGTTCTCCTACCACCTCACAAAATATCAAGGGGGGTCGTCGTAGGAATTTGTTTTTCGTAATAGAGCTCATATAAAGAGAATTTCACTCGCGGTCACTTTTTAGCCCTCGTCGAGGGCTTTGAGTGTAACCGACAGTTTTCCCTAAAGTTCAAGCCATTGATCTAGGAGCATGCAAAAAATTAGCCAGATATACTGAGCTTAAGTATCCTAAAGTCTGCTTTGAAATGACCCTCTGTTTTTCCCATAAAATACAAAGATTATATAGGGAAATACAACTGGTCAGTTTTGACCCCTTTACGAAGTTTTCCCAGATATGCCGAGTTTTTTGTGACACCCCAAGGTGTTTTCCTACCACCTCACAAAATTTCAAGGGGGGTCGTCGGAGGAATTTTTTTTTTCGTAATAGAGCTCATATAAAGAGAATTTCACTCGCGGTCACTTTTTAGCCCTCGTCGAGGGCTTTGAGTGTAACCGACAGTTTTCCCTAAAGGTCAAACCATTGACCTAGGAGCATGCAAAAAATTAGCCAGATATACTGAGCTTAAGTACCCTAAAGTCTGCGTTGAAATGACCCTCTGTTTTTCCCATAAAATACAAAGATTATATAGGGAAATACAACTGGTCAGTTTTGACCCCTTTACGAAGTTTTCCCAGATATGCCGAGTTTTTTGTGACACCCCAAGGTGTTCTCCTACCACCTCACAAAATTTCAAGGGGGGTCGTCGGAGGAATTTTTTTTTCGTAATAGAGCTCTTATAAAGAGAATTTCACTCGCGGTCACTTTTTAGCCCTCGTCGAGGGCTTTGAGTGTAACCGACAGTTTTCCCTAAAGGTCAAACCATTGACCTAGGAGCATGCAAAAAATTAGCCAGATATACTGAGCTTAAGTACCCTAAATTCTGCGTTGAAATGACCCTCTGTTTTTCCCATAAAATACAAAGATTATATAGGGAAATACAACTGGTCAGTTTTGACCCCTTTACGAAGTTTTCCGTGATATGCCGAGTTTTTTGTGACACCCCAAGGTGTTCTCCTACCACCTTACAAAATTTCAAGGGGGGTCGTCGGAGGAATTTTTTTTTCGTAATAGAGCTCATATAAAGAGAATTTCACTCGCGGTCACTTTTTAGCCCTCGTCGAGGGCTTTGAGTGTAACCGACAGTTTTCCCTAAAGGTCAAGCCATTGACCTAAAAGCGTGCAAAACATTAGCCAGATATAAAGAGCTTAAGTACCATAAAGTCTGCGTTGAAATGACCCTCTGTTTTTCCCATAAAATACAAAGATTATATAGGGAAATACAACTGGTCAGTTTTGACCCCTTTACGAAGTTTTCCCAGATATGCCGAGTTTTTTGTGACACCCCAAGGTGTTCTCCTACCACCTCACAAAATTTCAAGGGGGGTCGTCGGAGGATTTTTGTTTTCGTAAAAGAGCTCATATAAAGAGAATTTCACTCGCGGTCACTTTTTAGCCCTCGTCGAGGGCTTTGAGTGTAACCGACAGTTTTCCCTAAAGGTCAAGCCATTTACCTATAAGCATGCCAAAACTGAGCCAGATGTAAAGAGGGTAAGTGCCATAAAATCCGTTTTGAAATGACCCTCTGTTTTCCCCATAAAATACAAAGATTATATAGGGAAATACGACTGGTCAGTTTTGACCCATTTCCCGATTTTTCCCGGACATGGCGAGTTTTTTGTGACACCCCAAGGCGTTCTCCTACCACCTCACAAAATATCAAGGGGGGTCGTCGTAGGAATTTGTTTTTCGTAATAGAGCTCATATAAAGAGAATTTCACTCGCGGTCACTTTTTAGCCCTCGTCGAGGGCTTTGAGTGTAACCGACAGTTTTCCCTAAAGTTCAAGCCATTGATCTAGGAGCATGCAAAAAATTAGCCAGATATACTGAGCTTAAGTATCCTAAAGTCTGCTTTGAAATGACCCTCTGTTTTTCCCATAAAATACAAAGATTATATAGGGAAATACAACTGGTCAGTTTTGACCCCTTTACGAAGTTTTCCCAGATATGCCGAGTTTTTTGTGACACCCCAAGGTGTTTTCCTACCACCTCACAAAATTTCAAGGGGGGTCGTCGGAGGAATTTTTTTTTTCGTAATAGAGCTCATATAAAGAGAATTTCACTCGCGGTCACTTTTTAGCCCTCGTCGAGGGCTTTGAGTGTAACCGACAGTTTTCCCTAAAGGTCAAACCATTGACCTAGGAGCATGCAAAAAATTAGCCAGATATACTGAGCTTAAGTACCCTAAAGTCTGCGTTGAAATGACCCTCTGTTTTTCCCATAAAATACAAAGATTATATAGGGAAATACAACTGGTCAGTTTTGACCCCTTTACGAAGTTTTCCCAGATATGCCGAGTTTTTTGTGACACCCCAAGGTGTTCTCCTACCACCTCACAAAATTTCAAGGGGGGTCGTCGGAGGAATTTTTTTTTCGTAATATAGCCCATATAAAGGCGCCGGTCAGTCGAGGTCAGTTTTGACCCCCTCTCCGTAGACTTATTGCCGAACCGTCACCGGCCCTCGTGTTCTATCGCCATAAGGCACCTTCGTGCCAAATTTGACGCGCCTGCGGCGCCGGGAAGTGCCTTATCGGGCACCCGACCACTTTGCTTTATATATATAGACTAGGCATACTGCCTAGCTTCGCTTAGGTTTTCAAAAAAGTTGAGAAATTGAATGATTAATTAATAGGCGATTGGCTGTTATATTAAATGTCTAAATTTATACAGTGGGGTACTTTTTTAGTACCCATAAATTGATAGAATATTCGCAACTTATTACTCGCAAGGTTATTAGAACTGAAAGGGCTTTCATAAAAATTATCAATCAAATATTATATTAAATTACTTTTGCAATTAATTTTACAATTACAATACAATACAAAACTTAATTTATAACACAATATCCATTTAAAACAATGCTATACTTTATGATTTTTGTTTTTTCTTAAAAAGAGTATACAAAATATTAAAAAATTGTTACATTAAAAAGTTACCTCCCCTGCTCATAGACCAATTGACCAAATTTCGTATAATGAGAATTTCACTCGCAGTCATTTTTAGCCCTCTTCGAGGGCTTTAATGCTGACCAACAGGTTTTCCATACGGCCCATCTATCTATAGAGGTGTATGCAAAAAATTAGCCAGTTAAACAAAGAGTAAGTACCCTAAAATTTGCGTAGAAATTACCCAGTTTTCCCCATAAAATACAAAGATTATATAGGGAAATACAACTGGTCAGTTTTGACCCCTTTACGAAGTTTTCCCAGATATGCCGAGTTTTTTGTGACACCCCAAGGTGTTTTCCTACCACCTCACAAAATATCAAGGGGGGTCGTCGGAGGAAAATTTTTTTCGTAATAGAGCTCATATAAAGAGAATTTCACTCGCGGTCACGTTTTAGCCCTCGTCGAGGGCTTTGAGTGTAACCGACAGTTTTCCCTAAAGGTCAAACCATTGACCTAGGAGCATGCAAAAAATTAGCCAGATATACTGAGCTTAAGTACCCTAAAGTCTGCGTTGAAATGACCCTCTGTTTTTCCCATAAAATACAAAGATTATATAGGGAAATACAACTGGTCAGTTTTGACCGCTTTACGAAGTTTTCCCAGATATGCCGAGTTTTTTGTGACACCCCTAGGTGTTCTTCTACCACCTCACAAAATATCAAGGGGGGTCGTCGGAGGAAATTTTTTTTCGTAATAGAGCTCA